ATGCCCAAAGTATGTGAGACGGAGCTTCAAAATCCTAGTCTCTAAAAAAAAAAAAAAAAAAAAAAAAGCCTAGTCTCTAAGGAGAGACTTGGTTCCACCCTCTTCATGTATGTTCAAAACTCTTCTCCAGCACCACAACTCGAGGGCATCTAGTTTTCTTTTGTCATCCTTAGTCATTGTCCAGCTGATAATTTCAACATTCTGTTGAATTTTCCTTCTTGGGAATAGGAACAAACATTAATCTCTTCTTTATTAAACAGCTGTCCTGCAGGTTTCCTGGCATGCACTGGGGAGCACATCCAGGGCTACATCTGTCATTTGAAACATTTCAGTTAGCATCACATCTTTTCCTAGGACCTTATTTTATTGTCAATTTTGATGAGTATCTAGACTGTATAAAGGACTCTCAAACTTCAACAGTTAAAAAAATCCAATTAGAAAATCGATAATATTTTGTGATGAGTTTACATTCAACAAAACAGGCACATAAAATCATTAAAGGATTTAGCATCATTAGCTGTTAACCAAAACCCAGTTGCCATCTAGTGCATTCTGACTCATCCTGACGTGTGTGTGTGTGAGAGAGAGAGAGTAAAATTGTGCATCATAGGATTTTCAAAACACATAAGCTAATTTTTTGCTAGTAGATTGCTTTCCTTCTGAGGACACTGGATAAACTTGAACCATCAACCACTTTTTTAGCAGAGAACATATTAACCATTTGTAGTATGTGTTTGAGAGTATGCAGCCAGAGTGCTCTTTGGAGGCAAGGAGGATGAGGCTTCACTTCACATACTTTGGGCATGTTCCTTGGGGAAGGACATAATGCTGGGAATGATGGACGGTCAGCCAAAGGGGAGGAAGACCATCAGCCAGGTGGATTGACACAGTGACTGCCACAGTGAGCTCTAGTATGTCAGGAAGTGTTAAGATGGCACAGAACAGGACAGGGTTCAGATATGTTGTTCATAGTGTCACTATGAGTCGAACTCGACTCAGCAGCATCTAACAATAACCGTACTCAGCGCCCTCTCACTGGCCATTGGGAAATGCATATCAGAACCACAGTGACTTAGCACTAGACATGTTCTTGTTGCGATCAAGTTGTTTCTCACTCAGAGCAAATCTCATTGGTTTTCTAAAGATGTGAATTACAACAGGAGAAAATTGCTCATCGTTCTCTTGAGGAACCAGGTGCATTTGAACTGCTGGAGACACATGCCCTTTGGGTTAGAAGTGCAGTTGCTATTGACCACGCCACTTCTCTTGTTGTTATGTGCTGCCACATATATTCCATCTGGCATGTGTGTTGTTGTATACCATACAGTTGGAACCAACCCATAGCTGATCCTCCCCATCCCCCCACTCCGAGGATTTTCAGCGGCAGTAAATCACATAGGAGTTGATTGCCCAGCTCTCTCCGGTGGAGCAGCTGGTGAATTTGAACTGTAACCTCCATTATGCAGATGACACAACCTTGCTTGCTCAAAGTGAAGGGGCCTTGAAGCACTTGTTGCAGAAGATCAAGGAATGCAGCTTTTGGTATGGATTGCTCAATGTCAGAAAAACAAAGATTTTTACCATTGGGCCAATAGACAGCATCATGATAGATGGAGAGGAGATTCAAACTGTCAATAGCTTCATCTTGTTTGGATCCACAATTAACACCTGTGGTACAAGAAGTCAGGAATTAAGGAGACACATTGCAATGGGAAAATTTGCAGTTAGGAACCTTTCCAAAGTATTGAGGAGTAGTGATGTCAGTTTGAGGACTAAGGTGCATCTGATTTAGGCCCTGGTCTTTCCGATTACTAGCTATGCACCCAAGACCCAGACAATGAGTAAGGATCACAAAAGAAGAGTTGATGCCTTTGAGCTGTGATATTAAAGAAGAGCACTGAACATCCATTCCATGGACGGCCAGGAGAATGAACTTAGAGAGGGTGCAGCCAAAATGCTTTTTGGAGGCAAGAATGATGAGGCTTTGCCTTACATACTTTGGACATGTTGCAGAGAGGGACTGTTCCTTGGAGAGGGACATGATGTTGGGAAGGCTGAAGAGTCGGCAAGGAAGAGGAAGAAGACCTTCAACCAGGTGGATTGACATGGTGACTGCTGCAATGAGCTCTTGTGTGTCGGGCAGTGTGAGGAGGGTGCAGGATAGAGCAGGGTTCAGATCTTTTCTTCATAGGGTCACTATGAGTCGTACTCTACTCGATGGCACCTAACAGCAACCACCACCACCTTTGTGTTGGCAGCGCAGTTCCTTACCACTAAGCCACCAGAGCTCCCTTAACACATGTATTGTTGCTGTTGTTGTTATGTGCTGTCAAGTCACCTGTGACTCATAGCGGCCCTTATGTACAACAGCCCTAAGCCCTGCCCTATTCTGTGCCAATCTCACTGTCTCTGACATACCTACCCCCATTACCCCATCACTGAATCAGTCTACCTCATAGAGGGTCTTCCTCTCCTGTGCTGTCCCTCCACCCTCCCAAGCATGACGTCCGTCTCCAAAGATTGATCCCGCCTTGCATCATGTCCAAAGTATGTCAGAGGGAGCTTCAGAATCCTTGCCTCCAAGAAGCAGCCTGGGTTCACCCTTTCCAGGATGAACTTGTGTTAGATGAGAATGGCTAAAATAAAAATTCTTAACAACAGCAAGATGTTGCTGAAGACACAGGAAAAACTAGATTACTCAACTCATTGCTGGGAGGACTATAAACTGGTATGGTTATTGTGGAAATAGCTTGGCAGTTTCTTTGTAAACAAAATGTTAAAAATACAGCAAAAGCAAACAAACTAAAATCTAAACATGCAATTATTATGTGACCCAACAATTGTATTCCTAGGCATTTATCCCAGAGAAAGAATATTCACATAAAAACCCAAGGATGTTTATAGCCGCAGCTTTTCTTGTAATAGCCCAAAGCTAAGCCCTGGAACTAATCCATGTGTTCTTCATTTGTGGTATACACATGGAATCCATCCTAGTACTACATGGATTACCAATATGCAACAGCTCAGATGAATCGCCAGAGAAACTATGCTGAATGAAAACATTGCATACTGTGTGATTCCATACATTTATATTCTTGACATGTCAAGATTAAACAGAGAACAAATCTGTGTTGGCCAGAGTGTAGGGAAGCGGATAGGCTGTGGAGATGGGGGGAGGGGGGGACGCATTTAAGGACAACAGGAGGATGGAACTGCTCCATATCTTGACTGGTAGTGGGTATATGCAATGTACATGTGATAAAAATTGCATAGAATTAAATACACGCATAACCGTAGCCCACCTAAGTAAAACGAGGAGAAAGCTAATCCAGATTGGTGGATTGTGTGAATGTCAGTGTCCTGTGTGCCAAGACAGATGGTGCAAATCCACTAGCTGCTCCACGAGAGAAAGGTGGTATTGTCTACATGATTTATAGCCTCCAAAAACCACTGGAGTCTAGGAGTCATGGCAATAACTTGATGGTTTTTATAGATGTTCCCATTGAGGGATGCTGGGTAAAAAGTACATAGAATTGCTCTTGTATTTCTTACAACTGCTTGTGATATACAATTACCTAAAAAGAAAATAGAAATAAATGTAAAGTTTCATTAAATAGAAGCAATGAGGGGGTAAATGTTAAAGGAAAAACACTAGAGACTGAAAAGAAATATAACAGCTGCTGGTTGCCAAGGCTTTGCTACAAACTTTCATCTGCACTACCGTTGTTCTCTCCGGTAACCCTATGAAGTGTAGTACTCACTCACTCATTACTGTTGACTTGGAATAACTCCTACCTGACCCTCCAGTGGGTTTTCAGAGGCTCTAAAGCACACAGAAAAGGATGGTCCATCTTTGTTTCTCCTGTGGAGGAGCTAGTAGACTTGAGCCTTTGATTGACAGTGCAGCTACCTACCCACTAGAGCACCAGAGTGCCATAAAGTAATATTAGGCCTCTGTTTTCAGAGCTAATGCTCTTCCTAGTATGCCTCATTTTTTGTTTGTTTTATTTTTTCTTTTCATTTTATTTTATATTTATTTATTTATTTATAAAGCTTGGATACATTGTTTTTCACACAGAATCTTTCCAATCTCCTTCATCACCCTCCACCAAATTGTGCTTACCCCATGATTAACCACCCCGTCCCCCGCCCATACTCACCTCTCTGCTTCCACCCCCCACCCCATACCCATTCTACAAGAATGGTTTTATCCAGTATTTGTCCTTATGGGACTGAGTTAGTTCACTCAGCAAAATACTCTCTAGTCCCTCCCAAGTTAGGTAATAATTTACAAAATCATTGCTCCTGCGTACTGCCTGGTATTCCATTGTGTGAATGTACTGTAATTTCTCAATCAATTCCATTGTGGTTGAACATGTGGGCTGTTTTCATGTTCTTGCGATGGTGAATAACACGATGAATCTTGATACACAAGTCTCCGTTTGTGCCTCAGTTCTCATTTTCTCAGGGTTTTATTCCAAGCAGTGGAATAGCTGGGTCATATGGAATTTCAGTGTTCAGCTTTTTGAGGAAGCGCCCAACTGCCCTGCCTTCCAGAGTGGTTGTACTTCATTTCTTTTTATATGCAAGAACTCTGTAGGAAGAAAAACATTGCAAAAGAGAAACCTGTCTCCTCTTAACAGTTATTAATGCTGCTCCAGCTCATGTTTTTCTACTCAGACCATTCTCCAGGACATTAACTCCCTTATTCCTGAAGCGGTAGATCAGAGGATTAAACTGGGTGTTTACCACCCCCAAGGGAACAATATCATTTAATAGAGAAAGAAACACACTAACATTTTCTCACCTTAACCCAGTATAGCATCCTGTACATTCCATTTGGAGACAATGAACTTGTTCCAATAGTTTCCTGATTTTGTAAACTTTAAAACAATGGGAATTTTTATGTGCATTTTTTATTAGCATGAAGGTTTACAAATAATTTTTTTAAAAAGTAATGTTTTCTAAGGTTCATATTGAGTATTATTTTTTCCCCCCAGCATTAAAATCCATGACCTGACAGAATTAAAAGATATGCATGCTATAATCAGCCTGGATGATGAAAACAAAGGTACTGCTTTTCTAAAATATTGTTATTTTTATCATTCTGATTTCAAAAAGTACTGTTGCATTTGCTACACTATATTGTATTTATTGTATGACTTGCCTTCTTTTAAGAACAATAAAAGGAATATCCTTTCCTAGCTACCTATGATTATCTCCTAATTTGGTAATGATGTTGAGTCATACTATTTGACTGAAATGATGCAAGTTCACTTTGATCCAGAGATTTACCATGATTTGTATCTAATTCGGCTGTAAATGTAAATTGTCCTTACAGTCTTTCCCTTTGAGCCGGTTTTTAAATTGCCAATGTTCGTATTCACGTGACACGCCTGGTGACTATATTGGACACGACAGCTGTCTAGTCGGCTCAGACTCAGCTGACCCTCCATCATATTTCTGAGGCTGTAAATCTTTTCTCCCCCTTCTAATATTTTTTATTGGTTTGCATACATTAATATACATTGTTTTTCATGCATCTACATCTTGTTTTATATACTCTTTAATTTACATTGTGTTTCATTCATGTACATTGTGTTTTATATAATAATTTCACATGCATTACATTGTATATAATTAATTACTGTTGATCTGTGGCTGTTATTACGCTGTCTTTTCAAGTCCTCATTGAATCTTTCCTGTTCCTTCTCCCCACCTTCCACCCACTAACCTCTGCTATCCTAGTGATTTTTCTTCTTCCTTTTTTCATTTCCTCTGTTATTATAAAAAATTATTTTATATTGGTTTTTCATAAAAAGTTTGTACGTATTGTATTTCATATAATCATTCCCATTCATTGTTTTATGAAAATAATCACCACTGAACTATGCCCACCATTACCCTGACTTTCCAGATCCCTGTGGATCTTTCCCATTTCCTGTACCTACTCCTCCCTCCACCTACCTAATTGTGAGACCCTATGATTTCCCCCACCCATCTTCCCCTTTGTCCCTTGGATCTCCATACATGTTTTACTAGTTATCCTTCTATTTTTACAGTAATGGTCTTCTGCAGTATTTGTCCATATGAGACTGAGTTAGTTCACTCAGCATAATGTCTATCCCTTGTGCTTGGACATTTGGTCTGTTCCCATATTCTTGCAATTGTGGTTAATGATGGTACATTGGTGTGCAAATCTCTGTGTTTCAGTTCTAATTTCCTTGGGGTATATTCCTAGACTTCTCTAAATTATTGAGGTGTTATGATGTCACTTTGAGGATTAAGATATGTCTGATTCACCCATGGTCTTTCTGATCACTTGCTAGTCATCTGACAGCTGGGCAATGAATAGAGATTACAGAAGAAGAATTGATTCCCTTGAGTTATGGTATTGGAGAAGAGCACTGATCATCTCATGGACTACCAAAAGAGCAAATATATATGTCTTGGAGAAGTGCAGCCAGAATGTTCTTTGGAAGCAAGAATGATGAGGCTTCCCCTCACATACTTTGGGCATGTTGCTAGGAGGGACTATTCCTTGGAGAGAGACATGATGCTTGGAAGGGTAGAAGTTTGGCAAAGGAGAGGAAGACCCTCAACCAGGTGGATTGACACGATGACTGCTACAGTGGGCTCTACTGTATCAGGAAGTGTAACGATGGCACAGGACGGGACAAGGTTCAGATCCACTGTCCGTAGAGTCACTATGGATTGTACTTGACGGCACCTAACAGCAGCAAATTCCTAGCAGTGGAATAGCTGGGTCATGTGGAATTTGTGTTCGGCTTTTTGAGGAAATGACAAACTGCCTTCCAGAGTGGTTGTACAATTTTACAATCCCACCAACAATGTATTAGAGTTTTCATCTCTTCACATCCTATCCAACATCAATTACTTGCTGTCCTGTAAAACGTTGCCACTGTAATGGAGTGAGATGGTATCTCATTGTGGTTTTGATTTGCATCTCTCTTTTTTTAAAAAATTTTTTTTATTTGATTTGCATCTCTCTTACTGCCAGTGATTTTGAGCATTTTTCTGTTGGCCATCTGAGTATTTTCCTCTGTGAAAAGTCTTTCCATGTCTTTTGCCCATTTTGTAATTGTGTTGTCAATCTTTCTGTGGAGATCCTGTAAGATTCTGTAAACTTTTGTTATGAGGCCCTTGTCTGAGATGGTATTGCCACATGTGTTTTCCCAGTCAGTAGGTTTTCTTTTCAACCTATTGAAAAAAGCTTTTGATGCTTGCAGTGATTTAATCTTTAGAAGGTCATAATCATCAATTTTTATCCTCTCCTGGTTGTACATTTATGGCTATATTTGTCAGCCTCTCTATACCATAGACTAGACTTTCTAAACTTGGTCCCAGTTCTCTTATGAAATTTATGGGTCTGGGCTTTACTCCCTGATCTCTAATCCACCTGGAGTTGATTTTTGGTGTAAGGTGTGGATCCTGCTTCAGTTTTCTGGAGGTAGCAGTCCCGTTTTATGAGCACCATTTGTTGGAAAGGTTGTCATTTCACCATTTGAGAGGTTTGGTTTCCTTGTTGAATATCAGTTGGTCATAGATAGATGGGTTAATATCTGGGTTCTTGATTCTGTTCTCCTGGTTTACATTCCTGTCATTGTACCAGCACCATTCTGTTTTGGTTATTATATCATCAGGATTGGAGGTAAACTCATCAACAATCTGTGTTATGCAGATGTAGCAACCCTGCTTCCTGAAACTGAGGAGGACCTGAAGTGCTTACTGCAGAAGGTCAAGGACTGCAGCCTTCAATATGGATTGAAGCTCAACATCAAGAAAACAAAGTTTCTCACCATGGGGCCAATTGGAAGCATCATGATGGATGGTGAAGAGACTGAGATTGTTGACAGCTTCCGTTTACTTGGCTCTACAATCAACACTCTTGGTACTAGCAGCCAGGAAATTAAAAGACAAATTGCATTGGGAACGTCTGCTGTCAGAGACCTCTGGAAAGTACTGAAGACCAGTACTGGTCAGTCTGGAGACTAAGGTGCGCCTGATATAGGCCATGGTCTTTGAAGTTACTTGCTGTGCATCAGAGAGCTGGACAGTAAGGAGGGATGATAGAAGGAGAGTTGATGCTTTTGATCTTTGGTGCTGGAGAAGAGTATTGGATATACTATGGACTGCTAGAAGAACAAACAAGTTCGTCCTGCAGAGGGTGAAGCTGGGCTGCTCCTTGGAGGCAAGGATACTGAAGCTTCGTCTGACATACTTTGGACATGTTGCAAGGTGGAATCAAGTCCTTGGAGAGGGAGATCATGCTTGGGAAGGTGGAGGGACCATGCAGGAGAGGAAGACCCTGGATGTGATGTTTTGATTCAGTCACTGGGATAATGGGGTTGAGTGTGACAGAGATAGTAAGATTGGCAAGTGATAGAGCAGGGTTTAGGACTGTTGTACATAGAGTCGTTTTGAGTTGCAGGCTACTCGATGGCATATAACAACAAAAACAATAGGTTTTGAGATTAGGCAGTGCTATGCCTCCCATTGTTGTTTTTTTAGAAGTGCTTTGTTTATTCAGGGTCTCTTTACTGTCCAAACAAACTTGCCAGTGCCTTTTCTATCTCTTTGAAAAATTAATTTGGTATCTGTATTGGGCTTGCATTAAGCATGTTGACTGCTTTTTGTAGGATTGTCATTTTCACAATATTGAATCTTCCTATCCGTGAGTAGGGAACATTTTCCCATTTAGTTAGGTCTTACATTGTTTCTTGCAGAAGTATTTTCATACTACCTAGTTTTCTTTGTAACGGCCTTTTGTGTCTCTAGTTAGGTTTATTCTTAAGTGTTTCAATTTGTTGTTGGCTATTATAAATGGTATTACTTTCTTGATTTCCTACTCTGTATTTTCTTTCTTATTGTAGAGGAATAACTCTGACTTTTGTATGTTGATCTTGTATCCTACCACTCTACTAAATTAATACACTAGTTCTAACAGTGTTTTGTGTTGAGTCCTCGGGGTTTTCTGTGTATACTGTCATATCATCTACATACAGCAAGACTTTCACCGCCTCTTTGTTGAAGCTGTAAATCCTAATGTGAGTAGACTGCCTTGTCCTCCTCCTGTAGAACAGTTTTTATTGTTGTTACGTTGCTATGTGCTATTGAGTGTCGAAACTAACTCATAACTAACCCTCCAGTGGGTTTTCAGAGGCTGTCAATTGCTTGGCAGGAGATTCTCCATCTTTCTCCCTTGGAGGTGCTGGTGGGTTTGAGCCACTTGTCTTTTGGTTTGTCACTGCAACTCCATACCCACTAGGCTACCAGAGCTCCAAGTAGAAGAGTAGTGGATTTGAACTTTCAGCCTTGCAGGTTGTAGTCTAACACTTAATACACTATCTCACCAGGCCTCCAAGATATGTATTAAAGAACACATTTGAAGATTTGAGGTTTTTTATACGTCTAGTAGCTTAAATGGGAGTTCTTGTGACCTAGTGGTAAAGAACTATGCTGCCAATCCAAAGGCCCATGGTTCAAATCCAGCAGTTGCTCCAGGGAAGAAAAAAGGACAGTTTCTTCCTGTGCAATTTACTGCATATGAAAACCTGCTGGAGAGTCAGCTATGAGTTGGTTCTGACTTGATCGTACATAACAATAACAACAACAGTAACTTCAATTAAAATAGTTGTTTGCTTATTTACCTGCAGTTGTGTATTTGTTTTTAATATTATTTTGGCAATTATTTCAGGGCTGGGCACTTTATCCTGGACGGATGATGGTCAGTTGCTCGCATTATCCACCCAAACGGGCTCGCTCCATGTGTTCCTGACCAAACTTCCCATCCTGGGGGACGCCTGCAGCACCAGGATTGCCTATCTCACCTCCCTCTTGGAAGTAACTGTAGCCAACCATGTTGAAAGAGTATGGATACTGCACTATTTTTACTTCATCTTTGGATGGAAACAAAACAGTTGTGACAGCTGATTTACTTCTGTTACTTTTTCCACATTGCAGGAGCTCCCAATCACAGTCTCTGTTGACGTGGAACCCAATTTTGTAGCGGTCGGTCTTTACCATCTGGCTGTGGGGATGAATAATCGGGCTTGGTTTTACGTCCTTGGAGAGAATGGCAAGTCTAAATCCAGTTTACTCTTTCTTGCTTGTGGTATTTCTTTCTCTTGGTATAATGTGGGAAGTGACCAAATTCTTTCTAAGACTAGGAAATTTGAATTATTCTTGAAGGAAGTTTTGGATGTTTTGTATTTTCCTCTTTTCAGTCCAGATATTATTTTTCTTAAGTAGTGTTTTGAAAATTCTAAATAATTTGCAAATTCCCAGAAAAGATTTTATTCTTCATCTGTAATGTAGATAGCATACATAGTTTCGTGGACAGAGAATTAAAGAGGACTAGGCTGAACAATTGTGGAGAAATTCTCTCTCTCTCTCTCTAAGCCTTTGTTTTCTCATCTGAAAAAATAAAGGTGGTTGTTGTGTACCGTAGAGACAGAACTGACTCATAGCTGACCCTTCAGCCGGTGTTCAGAGACAGTAAATCACATGGGAGGAGATTGTCCATCCTTTTCCCACTGAGCAGCTGGTGGATTTGAACCGTGTGCCTTTGGGATTGCAGTGCAATTTCTTAACACGAGGCCACTAGAGCTCCCTGGTAAGGGACTGTGAGGAAGATTAAGTGAAATAAAATGTGATCTCCCTTTGAACCAGGGCTGTGCTAAGTGCCTCTTAGTGTGGTTAAACAACATGATGTGCATGTGTATATGCACACGTAAGTAGATCTCCTGAGGGAATGGAGTCACATCTAGTCCACTCTCAAAGCTCCTGTAGAAACTGCAGTTATTCATGCACACACAGATGCATTCATTCAGTATTGGTAGAAACTTGCAAGCAGAATGTTGAGGCAATTTTTTCCCCTTTTTTAAAGCTTTTCTTTGTCAGAGTAATGTATGATCTCTCGTCTAATGAATTTGTCTATTCTTCTTATTAAAATTTGGGCCTTTTAAAATGTTTTGACAGTATGTGCATACAGAAGTGTTTTATTCTCATTAAAGTGATGGGTTTTATGTATAGCAAATAAAGAAAACAGCAGGGAAAAAAACCCAAACACAACAACTCCTTAGTCTGGTTCTTGATGTTTTTGTTAGATGTTGTCGAGTATGACTCATGCTGTTGTTACTGTTATGTGCCATTTAGTTGCCTGCAGCCTGTAACAACCCTGTGTACAATAGCTCTGAACTCTGCTCTATCCTGAGTCAGTCTCACTAGCTCTGACATACCCACTCCTATTACTCCAGTAACTGTCAGTCTATCTCATCCAAAGTCTTCCTCATCTGCGCTGTCCCTTCACCCTTCCAAGTTTGATGTCCTTCTCTAAGGCCCGGTCCCTCCTGGCCACATGCCCAAAGTATGTGAGATGGAGCTTCAAAGTCATAGCCTCCACGGGGCATCCGTAGAGTCATAGTGACTCATAGCAGTTGAACTCAGTATGACACATAGTGACCGTATAAACTGATCTGAATGCTGTCCAGTCCCATACCAGCCTTGCCGTCTCTTAACACTCATGCCCGTAGCCACAGTCACCGTGTCAGTCCACCTGATCGAGGGTCTTCTCCTTCACCGCCCCTCCACCTTTCCTAACATGATGAAGTGCCATCATCTTTACGCCCAAGGAACACAACAACTCCTTAGTCTGGAGTTATGTGTTAGTCTCATAGGCACTTCATAAATTTCAGTGCTCTCTTCCCTTTCATTCTCTGCAGGATGGCTGTCAGCATATAATCGGAGCCTTGTCTTCTCCTCCTTCGACTTCTCTGTTCCCCACAGTCCGCAAGCTCCTGCTGTCTGGTTGATTACAACTTATAGTGACTTATAGTGACCCTGTGAGGCAGAGTAGGACTAGCACAGGGTTCCCACGGCTGTCGTCTCCCACCTCTTTCTCACCTGGAGGGGCTGGAGGGCATGAACGACCACCCTTTTGGCTAACAGCCCCTACAGAGATTCTTTTTCCCTCTGGAGGTCAGAAGTTCATCAGGAGTAGAGCAAACCTTTGAGCTATCCCCCTAATGGGAGAAAAACATTGCATTTCTTGTCAGTAAGGCTTAACTCTCTTTTTAAAAAACTTTTATTTTTTAAAAAACTTTTATTATTTTTTGTGTGTGTACCATCAAATCAGATCTGACTGGTACAAGAGATTGCCCCTCCTTCTCCAGCAGAGCATCTGATGGATTCAAACTGCTTACCTGTGGGATTGCAGTGCAGCTTCTTGCCACTAGAACTCTCTTTTTTTAAAAAAAAAATAGATTTTTAAAATTATTATTACTTGGCAAACTTTTGTGGAATTTCTGAAAGAAAATTTATATGGTAATTATGAATTTAAAAGAAAGATTTTTTTTCTTTGTTGTTGCTGTTGGGTGTCATCGAGTCCCCTGCAATTAATAGCAGCCCTGTGAACAACAGATCTGGATCTTGGCCTGTCCTTTACCATCTTCACAGTCCGAGCTTTAACCTACTGTTACAGTCACTGTATCAGTCTAATTGAGGCTCTCGTTCTCTCTCACTGACCCTCATGTTTCCCAGCACGATGTCTTTCCAAGGACCTGACAACTTGCCCAAAGTATGCGACCCAAAGTTTCATCACCTTTGTCTCCTACAGAGCACTCCTCTCAGGAAGTCATATTTCCTTCAGAACAGATTTGTTTGGGGATTTTTTGGCAGTTCCTGAGCTAGTCTGTCCTCTTCTGTGGCACCACAATTCAAAGGCATCAGTTCTTCGGTCTTATTTAGAGTGAAGATTTTTCTTTAGAATGGCTAAAGGTAAAATTAAAAGGGTTAGAATATCCTTGCAAAAGAATATACTTAAAATATCTGTCAATGTTTGTAAATGTAAGATATATAAGAAAGGTTTAGGACCTGTACATTCATTCATATATTGGATTCACTGTTTGAGGTTTGTTTATTTTTAAATTACTATAGCTGTGAAAAAATTGAAAGATATGGAATACTTGGGAACAGTCGCCAGCATTTGCCTCCATTCTGACTATGCTGCTGCACTTTTTGAGGGTAAAGTCCAGTTACATTTGGTAAGTATAAGTTTGGTGTCCAGAGCTAACAGTGGCATGCTCAGAAGGGTGGAGGGACAGTGCAGGAGAAGAAGACCCCAGATGAGGTGACGGTAACTGAGGCAGTGGGGGTAGGTGTGTTGGAGTCAGTGAGACCAATTCAGGACAGGGCAGGTTTCAGAGCTGTTGTACAGAGGATCACTAACAATAACAACTAGCTGCAAGACTTTGCTGCCTGCGCCCAACCAGAAATTCCTGGCTGAGCAGTCTGCTTCCAAAGGTCACAGCCTAGAAAACCCCGATGGGGCTGTTCACACACACACACACACACACACGGAATTGAACACTATGGCTGCTAATAACAGCAGCAAAGGTTGTTAAATGATGCTGACAAACAACCGGATGTTTAATGCACTTTGGTCAAAAGTGCAGACTAGATGGGAAGCCAGGTGGACCTAACAGTTAACAAAGCAATTCCCCTTCTGACTACGATTCTCTTGTTCAGTTAACTTTCTAGCTCTCTTCCTTAGAGAAACCTAATAAAGTGTAACTTGTGCTGCTCGTGGCGTTCTCTATGGTAAATATTACATTTGACTGGGAAAATTACATGCTAAGAGAGCCGGCTATGAACTATAAAACAATGATGGGTTGCCCTATCTTTGAGCTTCCCCAGATGCATTGATTCTGGAATCTGGGATGCCACCAGAGGGGATCCCAGAACTATCCCTACTGTGTTGTCCAAGCTATCACAGCTCTTGTAAAGTGAGACTTCTGAACCAGGGCTGTTCTCACCTCCATCTCTCAACTCTACCTACACCTGGGAAGCCCAGATAATAAGCTATTAGATATTAGCTTCTGCTGAAAGACGGTCACACTGGAGAGTAACACCTGATGCTGTGCTGGCTGATCTTCCAACTAGATTAGCTCGTGTCAACTGGGAGTCTGAATGTTTAGCTGAATTTAAGAAATAAGCTGTGCTCCTTGCTGCCCCACCCCTGCTGTGGCAGACCAGGTTTACTCAAATAAGAGTAAAATGACCTTACATCTCTGAACCAATGTTCTCTTTCTGTGTTTTAGATAGAAAGTGAAATCTTAGATACTCAAGAAGAGCGTGAGACGCGACTTTTCCCAGCGGTGGATGATAAGTGTCGGATTTTGTGTCTTGCCTTAACTAATGATTTCCTCATCTACGGTACAGATGTACGTATCAGCGTCTTCAACCTAGAGTATGGCAAATCTCTAATTTTTACTTTGGGGTCTTGGTCGAATTGCTTTGCCCACCATTCTCTCTTACCATCTCCATCCACGTATTAAACCGAAATAGCAGTGAAACCATCTCTGATTAATGTCTATGGAGAGCTTGTAAGTGGGCTGATCTGCCTGTCAACTGCTTTTGTGATTCTTTTTTTTTTCATTTAACGAATAGCATATTTTAATGCAAATAGCATACACACTAAACATTTTTGCAAACCACCTGTGTTCCTTAAAAGCCAGTTTTACTATGTGTGCCATCTATATTGGCTGCATACACTTTATTTATGAGGCTATGGTGCTTTTGTGATTCTTAAGCAATTTGGGTGGCATAATAATGAAAAGAGCAGTCTTTGGAGCCAGGCAAAGCCAAAACAATCACAGCTCTGTAGGTTACTAGTTATTCTTAACCCCCCTAAACCTTCAGGCTGGCTGTTCACAGGGTTACTAGGAGTTATACTCAGCTTGACAGCACTTAACAACAAGCCTTACATTGAGTTCAGTGATACACCTAAGACATCTCTGACACTTTCAGTGTCGCAGAGTCTACATTTAACATTCATTTCAATACTGCTTTTCACTAGGAGCCTCGTTTCAATCTCTTGGCCCTTTGAAACATCTATACCCTGTAAATATTTTAGCCACATGGACATAAAACACAATTACAGTATCTTCTTTTTCAAAATATGTCACATCTGTTTGATCTTGAATTAGCAACATAGATAGGCTTTCTTTTCTACATTAAGGGGAAAAACCCATTATGCATGATTTCAAGTTTCCATTTTCCTCACATTGGACTATTTTTAAAGAAATAAAGTAAATAAACTTATCACAATTTTAAGATTTTACATTTAAGTTAGAAAAATGTGATAATATATCTCAGTAGGGTCAGTCATGTGTCAGGTAAATTAGTCATTGATGAGGTAAGTAATGCTACATGATAACATTGATATGATATATAATAGTTTACAAAGCCCTAAATTCACTTAAGGAAACTCTGGTGGCCTAGTGGCAAGAAGCTTCACTGAGATACTGAATGCAGGCGGTTTGAGTCCACCATCACCTCTGTGGAAGAAGTATGGGCTTTCTTCTCAAGGGTAATTAACTGCCTTTGAAAACCCACTTGAGGGCCAGCTGTGGGTTGGTCCTAACTCGATGATAAACTACAGCAACAACATTACTTAAGGGAACTCTGTTGATATACTTTATAGGGTGTTGCCCTGCTAACCCAAAGTCAGCACTCACCAGCCATTCCTTGGGAAGAAAGATGAGCAGTCTCCTCCCATGCAGTTTGTTGTTGTTATGTGGCATCGAATCACTTGTGACTTATAGCAACCCTATGTACAACAGCTCTGAGGCCTGCCCTATCTGAGTCACTCCCATTGCCTCTGACCCTCTTACCCCCATTACCTCAGTTACTGTGTCAAGCCACATCATGCAGGGTCTTCTTCTCCTGCGCTCTCCCTCCACACTTCCAAGCATGATGTCTTTCTCCAAGGTCTGGTCTCTCCTGGCCTCATGTCCAAAGTGTGTGAGACAGAGCTTCAAGATCCTTGCCTCCAAGGACCAACTTGGTTTTGCCCTCTCCAGAACAAAACCATTTATTCTCTTGGCAGTCCATGCTCCATTCAGTACTCTTTTCCAGCACCACAACTTAAAGGCATCAATTCTTCATCTAGCACCCTTAGTCATTGTCCAGCTCTCTGGTACATAGTAAGTAATTGCTTACTTGAAGACCATGGCCTGCCTCAGGCACACCTTAGTCTCTACACTGATGTCATTGCTTCTCAGTACTCTGGAGAGGTCCCTGACGGCAGATTTTCCCAGTGCATTTCACCTTTTTATTCCTGACTGCTGATACCAAGAGTGTTGATGGTGGAACTGAGCAAGCTGAAATTATTAACAATCCCAATCTCTTCTCCATCTTGTTGCTGCCAGTTGGCCCAGTAGTGAGAATTCTCAGCAGAGTGTTAAACTCAGTTACACCAATTAATTCTAAGCCCTGATTCAAATTTAGCAAACAGTATATACTTTAAGTTGAATCAAGTAGTTTGAAGCCCCAGTGTTGATAAGTGTACAAGGTACTCATGAATTGTGGTCTTAGTGAAGAATATTAGGTACACTATGAATTTCCAAAAGCAAGATAATTCTGTCTTCGAGAAAGTGCAGCCAGAATGCTCCCGAGAAGCATGGACACTTGGAGCAAGTTATCAGGAGAAACTAATCCCTGAAGAAAATTGTGCTTGGAAAGGAGAATGGTGGTGAAAGAGAGGAAAACCCTCAATGAGACAGACTGACTCGCTGACTCCCATGGGCTTAACTAGGCACCACAGAGACTGTGACCACAGAGACTGTGACCACAGAGACTGTGACCACAGAGACTGTGATGGTGCAGGATCAGGCAGGGTCCCCTCCGTTCTCCCAAAGAGTCGCTGTAAAAGGAGCCAGCTCAGCATCACCTGACGACAACACATCCACTCGTGAAACACCATTCCCTCAGATCAAGAGAGTGAACAGTGGGTCACCTCCAAGAGCTTTCTCATGCCTCTTGATATTTTTCCCACTCATTGTGCTTCTGTTACTCCAAGCGAGTGTGAATATTCTTGAGTTTTCTGTATCGGTGGAATCAGGCAGGGTATCCTGGGTTTTTTCTGCCCTTCAGCATACTTCTCTGGCGGTTCATCTGACTTGTGCATTTCAATGGTAATTTCTTTTTATTCCATGATGTGGATGTAACACAGTTTAAACACCAATTAAAGGACATCTGGATGTTTCTAGTTTTGGGCTATTACAGATAATTCTGTAAAAAATTCAGATTTTTGTGTATGTGAATGTGAGCTTATACTTTTCTGGAGTTAAAAACCTTCATACCCACAGTACTATTTTAAAACACAAAACCAAACCAATTAGAGCAACAATACTGGACAGATAATAATAACAAACATGAAGAAATTGGAACCTGCATACACTCCTTATGAAAATCTACAATGGTGCAGCCACTTGAATCAATACTTGAGCAGTTTTCTGAAAAGTCAGAGATACCATATACCTAGTAGTTCCAGTCCTAAGGATATATCCAGGAAAATTGGAAGCAAATATCTACCAGAAAAACTTTTACCTGAGCGCCATTTATTCATGATAGTCACAAGTGGGAAAAGCTCAGCTGTCCACCAGTCAGGGAATGGGTAAATGAGGTTTATCCATTGAATGGAATTGTTGGCAATAAAAAGTGAAGTCCTGATTCCTCCTAAACCTTGATAGCATTTTGCTAAGGTGAAACAAGGCATTCCCCAAACATCACATGTTATATGATTCCAATCACATGAAATGCCCAGAATAAGCATATCTATAAAGGAAAATAACTCAGCCTAGGGCTAGGTGCTGGAGGGAAATGGTTTCTTTTGGGGATGATGAAATGATTTCAAGATTGATAGAGATAGTTGACAAGTCTGTCAGTGTACTAAAAATCATTGAATTGTATACTTTATATAGGTGAATTATATATAAACTGGATCCCAATAAAAATTGTTATTGAAGGAGGTTGTTCAGCCATCTTAAAAATGAGAAAAATAATCTGGTGAACATAGTTGCATGACTTGTTTATTTTATTCTTTTAACCTAGATATTGTCTCTTTACCAGTATTATAGTCTTGATGACTGTCTCAGAAAAACGTCATTGCTATTTAGTCAGCTCTGATTCATAGCTGACCCCTCAGTGGGTTCTCAGAGCCTGTAAATTGCATGGGAGGAGACTGGCCAACTTTCTCCCTCAGAGCAGCTGATGGTGTTGAACTGTGCCTTAGGTTAGCAGCGCAACTCTATCTGCTTGGCCACTAAAGCTGTATAAAAAAGTCTTGAAATTAGGTGGACTGCTTTTCTTTATTTTTTTCCGTCCCTACCTCCCTACATTATCTTAGTTATTTTCCTTTTTTTTTGCCTTACTGTGTAAATTTTAGAATAATCTTAAATTTAACACACATACGCACAAAATCTTGTGATTTTCCTAAGAATTGTGTTTTATATCAATTTAAACAGAATTGATAATGTTTGGATGTTGATTCTTAATGTCTAACATGACTCATCTCTTCATTTATCTTTTATTTCCTTCATTAGTGTTTTGAAGTTTTCAGCTTTCAAGTCATATATTTTTTTTATTTACACTTGAGTTTTTCAGTTTTTAATGATTATAAAGGTATATTTTTCATTTTGGGTCTTTGGTTTTTCTTTGTAGAGAGAAAACTAATTTCTATCATGCAATGTTTTATTTTAAACTTGATTTTCTAATTTATTAGTTAACAGTGAAAAATTATATCATTTGATATCATTTACTCTTAAATTAAGGATAAATTTCTTGCAAGTAGAAAGTTTAAAAGTCACTGTTTTATATTATCGTTTAAATATCATTCATTAAGAGTATTAGAATTACTACTGGGTGGGGAGGCTGTAAATTGCACCGGAGGAGGTTGTGCATCCTTCTGCCACGGAACCACTGGTAGACTTAACCAGCCAGAGAGGCGTCCATCACCTTTGGACAAATGGAGCAGCTTCCAGCAGTCCATGCCAACAGATTAGAAGTAGTAGACTGTGTGAGATTGCTTGTACAGCCCCATTTATTTTGCTACCGTTCACATACACTAAATGTTATTTTCTGATTCTTCCTCAAATAAATATATGACATTTTTTTCTTTCAGATTTGGAAGTATATTTAGCTTAAGTATTGAGAGTCACTATCTTCTTGACAATCTTTCATATTTCCATGTCTCTTTTTGTTTGTTTCTTTCTTTTAGACTGGTGTCATTCAGTATTTCTACATTGAAGATTGGCAATTTGTTAATGACTATAGACATCCTGTCAGTGTGAAAAAGATTTTTCCTGATCCACATGGGACCACATTGGTTTTCATTGATGAGAAATGCGATGGCTTTGTCTATTGTCCAGTAAGTTCGGCAAATGTTAAGAATATTTGGCTTTTAAAAAAATATAAGAAGAGGGGTTTTTTTAACAGAAAATGTCATGTTGTTGTTGATTGCCTTCGAGTCGAGCATGACTCATAGAGACCTTATGAACAAAAGGCCTGGAGCCCCTCCATAACTGTTGACATTTATCAAGTTCATCGTTTCTAGAGGCAAGTTGTTTAGGAAGTGGATGCAGCTTCTGCTTTCAAACCTGCCTAGAACGCTATTGGTTGAGTCTGTGATGCATAGCAATCCTATGTACAGTAGCTCTGAACCCTTCCCTGTCCTGAGCCAGTCTCACTAATTCTGACACACCAAACCCCATCTGTGGCCAGTGGTAAGAAACTGTCCTCTAATCCCAAAATCATGTGGCTTGAATCCACCCGCTGCTCCATGTGAGAAGAATGGGCAATCTTCCCCAGCAAGCAGTTTTCTCTAAAAACCCACTGGAGGGTCATTTATGAGTCAGTTCAGACTAAACAACATACAACAACAAGATATCATAAATAAGGTTATTTTCTCCTCAGTATTAGAAAGGATGATACTTTGTTATCATATTTGTGGTTGAATTAATCAAAGTAGATCCATTTTCAAGCTATATTAAGAAATTTTATTTTTCACTATCCTACAATTATTTTCATTCTGAGAGGTGTGTGTTTTTTTTTAATTAAATGGTTAGTATAGCTTTTACATATTATTCCATGTTCAGCCTTATCACTTACTGAACAATATTACAGTATCTATACCTTCCCCGTACATGACTTTCCTTAGAGGACAGGAATTATATATACCTTATATTTTCTATCCCCCTGTACTTAATTTTCCTCTTGTCATGAAGATCCTGAACACAAAGATAAGGCATCTTTGTATGAGATGATTGAAAAGCAGACATTTAAAAAATTCTATTTTTAAATATCTTTAAGTTTTATGAAAACAGATTTCAGAAAAAGGAAATTTGTAGCTTTTCATAATTTACTTGGAACTTTGTTAGGAGTTGTGCTGCCAACCCAAAGGCAGGTGGTCCAAATCCACCAGCTGCTCCTCAGGAGAAAGGTGGGCAGTTTCCTCCCATGTGAATTTTAGTCTGTAAACACTGCTGGCAGGTTAGCTGAAAGTGGGCTCTTACTCCATGGCACATAAGAACAACAGACATAAAAATACCTAGTCAGTGGTTTAGTAGGGCCTCGGTCACAGTTCACGCAGCCCCTACTCCTTGCTGGCTGCCTACCGATGCCCTGGGGAGCACTGGTGGCCTCGTCTGTAGGGAATTGCACTGGTTACCCAAAGGCCCTGCCTCTGGTGGTTTGAATCCACCAGAAGCTTCACAAATGGGCAGTCTCTTCTTGTGCAATTTACAGCCTTAGAAACCCTCTGGAGTGTCAGCTGTGAGACTGACTTTTGGGGTTTACAGCTGCCCTTGGACACTTTGTTGAGAATTGTTCTTTGTGTTATCCTTTGCCCTAGTATCTGCTCACTGAAGACAGCTCACCCCTCCCATTGGTGCTTCCTCTACATTAAAAACACTTGCTGGAACTTCCTTCTTTTCTTCTCAAATTTCAACGCTGCCCTCCACCCCCTTTCTTTGATAAATGTAACTGGTTTCCATGAGGTGTCCATATTAGTTATACAAAATTCCTGATGTGCACTAGTTGTTACCTGCCTATTTCTCTCCCAGTCACCAAGCAAATGAGGAAGAATGGCATAAAGATAACCTGTTCTTAGTACGGAAATGCAGTCTCATAGAGATTTGTGTTCAGTGAATACTGATTATTTCCTGCTGTGCAGTCTCACGGTGGGGATGCAGAGAGACAACTGTTTAGGCGGATATGTGAGGTGGGTGGGTGCTCTGAGCATGTGGCAGGAATTGAAGTCAGGACTGAGAGAAAACTGCTAGGCACGTAAAGAAGAGCAGCCGTGAACAAGCTGTGGACATTTTCACTCTCCCCTTTTGTGCGTCTTTTCTTAATACTTTCAGAAGAGCCCAGTACGACTTCGTTCATGGAGTTGGAATTACATTTCCGTGAACTGATTTTCCCACATGTTGTCAGGCTCCAGCCATGTTTAGCAGATGTTAAAGTTCTGCCCTCTTTGCTTATTCTGTCTCACCCTTAAGCCCCTTCGGGTTCCAGAATTTTTTCTCACTTCTTCCGGCTTACCCTTGTTCCCCTTCTCACCTCTAACTTAGACCTTGGTAAAGTGACGAGAAGAATGAACCTGAATTTAGAAAAACACACACAAATTATTCTCTGATAGTGTAAGTTCTACTAAATCAAACATGAGGATGAATGTTTGCTTTTATCCAAATTAAGATCTTAACAGGTGAGAGTTTTTGATTGTGTAAGTTTCTCCTTGGAGGCTACAATTTTGGAAATCTGTTTCACATACTTCGGGCACATGGCCAGGAGGAACCGGTCCTTGGAGAAGGGCATCATACTAGCAAAGCTGAAGGGACACTGCAGGAGAGGAAGACCCTAGATGAGATGGATTGATTCAGTGACTGGGGCAATGGGGGTTGGTGTGTCAAAATCAGTGAGATGGTGTCAAAATTAGTGAGATGGCTCAGGACAGGGTTGGCTTCAGAGGTGCAGTATGTGCATAGGGTCACTATGAGTCGCAGGTGACTCGACAGCACATAACAACAAGGAAGATGTAATGCTTCTTGTTGGTGCAGTGATTAAGCATGTGGCTTCAAACTGAAAGGTTAGTGGTTCAAACCTACCAGCTGCTCCCTGAGAGGAAAATGTGGCAGTCTGCTTCCATAAACATTACTGCATTAAAGACTCTGGCAGTTCGACTGTGTTCTATAGGTCACCATAGGCTGGAGTCAACTGTACAATAAGAAAGAGTTGACTTTTTTATTTGGTAGCAAAATTATTTCAATATCTTCTGTGGTACATACAGAAGTATATTCTTTCCCTAAATTGTACCAAATTTTTTCAGTACATAAGGAAAGGGACAGGAAGACTTGTACCGTGGCTTCTCCCAGGGCCTAGAACAGAGGAGACAAGGCCACTTGAGCCCCTTCAGCAAGCTCACTTGAACCACTAGAGACTTGGTATCTCTTGGTTCCAGCACTCCATGCTGTGGGCTTTGCCACCACAGCCCCGTGATGCCCAGGAAACCCCAGTGTCGCCGAACCGATTCTGACTCATGACAGCCCTCCAGTAGGTTTCTGGGGCTGTACACCCTCGTGGGAAGAGACTGTATTATCTTCCTCTTCAGGAGTGGCTGGTGGATTTGAACTGCTGACCTTTCAATTAGGACAACACATAACGTACTACAGCACCATGGTTGAGTGCTGTGTGTTTCTCTTGATCTTTAACATACAGCTTGTCTTCCACGCTGCTGCTGCTGCTGTTTAACTTCAAAGTTTGAGAGAATTCTTGTTCCTGCGACTCAGATGTATGAAAAGAGTGATATATATAAAAAATACCTCAAATCACTATTCTTTAAAATTCCTAACATTCACTAGAGATAAACTGGCTGTTGGATTGTAACTGATTTATAACTGACCAGCCCTCGCATGTGTTTCCAGAGACTGTAAATCGCACGGGAGGTGATTGTCCATCTTTCTTTTTCCCATGATGCTGAGCAATTTACTAAACATCTACTCCTGAAACATTACTTGTTAGGTTTCAGAGACAGATTTTTTTTAACAGATAAAAATTATTGAAGGATTATTTGGCAAAAAAAAATATAATTTCCCTTAATAATACACTTATTCAACCTATTTTTCTCACTGTGTGTTGGTAAGGAAGATTAATCATTTTGTAGGTTGCAATTAGAAAAGATTGTTTCTTTTTTTGAATATGCCCTAGTAAAATGGTCTTGTACTCCATGACTTCCTATTTGTCCATAAAGAAATCCTTGGGATATATCATAGAAAGTTCATTAATATCAGATCTTCAAGAAGCAGTGAAGTATTAAACTAGAACACTACATGAGTGTATTTTAAAGACAGACAGACTGGCTGAGCTGGGTTTATTAAGGACAGTAACAGTAAGAACTATGGTTTTTATGGTGAGTATTCTTTTTATCTATTAATGGTCTCACTTAATCCTTTGAATACCCTCAAAGATAAGTATGGGCATCATTTCTCTTTTACAAGTGAAGAAACTACGAAATAGAGAAGATGAGTATCTTGCCCAGGGGCTTACAGCCAACATGTGGTGTGAATGGTGTGACCCATGGTACCTTGCTCTAAAACTCTCTGTTTGAATTCCCAGTTTACTCATCAATGAAATGGAGATAGTTCTTGTACCTGCCATATAGAGTTGTATGGAAATCAAGTAAGATAACATGTGTGAAGCTTTCAGTGCACTGCTGGCTCAGTTGTTCTTTCCCTCCCCTTGCCCCCCACTTCTGCCACCAGTTGAGTAGATGGTCAGCAGAAGAGAGGAAGACCCTCAGTGAGATTAAGTGATACAGTGACTGCATCGCTGGGTTCAAGCAAGGCAGAGACAGTGAAGATGGTGCTGGAGAGGGCGAGGTTTCCACCTGTTGGTCATGGGGCCACGATGACTCATAATTGACTTGACAGGACCTGAAACAGCAGCCAGTCCAGTAGCTCTGGTGTGTTCCTCTATATAAAGACACAAACAAAAGTCATACAGCATGATGTCGTTATGTGCCATCGAGTCACCTGCAACTCATAGTGACCCTTTGTACATTAGCTCTGAAACTTGCCCTATCCTGAGTCAGTCTCATTGTCTCCAACAGATCTAATCTCATTACTTCAGTCACTGAGTCAACCCATCTCATCCGGGGTCTTCCTCTCCTACGCTGTCCCTCCACACTTCCAAGCATGATGTCCTTCTCCAAGGACTTGCCGCTCTTTGCTACATGCCCAAAGTATGTGAGACGGAGCCTTAAAATCCTTGCCTCCAGGAAGCAGCCTGGTTTTACCCTCTCCAGGACAGACTTGTTTATTCTCCTGGCAGTCAACAGTATGTTCAACACAGTCCCGCAACTCAAAGGCTTTGATCCTTCTATCATCCTTAGTCATTGTCCAGCTCTCAGATGCACAGCAAGTAATTGCAAAGACCATGGCACCTTAGTCTCCAGATTGACATTGTTGCTTTTCAGTACTCTAGAGAGTCACTCTAGAGAGTCCCCGACCACAGACTCTCCCCAATATAATTCATCTTTTATTTCTACTATAGCATAGTGGTTCCAAATGGAGGCTCTGAACCCAGACTGCTTAGGTTTATATTTCAGTTGTAGGACTTTATGCAAATTTTTCAGTGCCTCACTTTCTTCATCTGTAAAATGGAACGGTTACTAATAGTATTTGTCAAGGGTAAATTTGCTACGTGGTCAGTCTCTTTCCCCCTTTGTCCCACTCCCATAGAAAATGGCTAAAACTTTACTTTCTCTGAAGAAATAGGAAAGGAAGTAAAAAACATTTGCACCAAGAGGGAGTTACATCCAGAAGAAGCCCCTTCCCCAAGAATGCAGGAAAACCAAACCCCAGCCAATCCTATGGGTCCCTAGACAGGGCAAGGCTATGAACCAGCTCAGGAGACTGGGAGTCAATAAAAACAGGTATAGTGCTGGAGAAGAGTGTTGAACATACTATACACTACTAAGACGACAGACAGGTCCGTCCTGGAGAGGGTGAGACTGGGCTGCTCCGGGATGTAAGGAGTCTGAAGCTCTGTCTGACATACTTTGGGAACACATTTCCTGAGGGAACTAGTCCCTAGGAAAAGGACATCATGCTTGGGAGGGTGGAAGAACAGCACAAGAGAGGAAGACTCTGGATGAGATGGATTGACTCAGTGACTGGGGTCATGGGGGTAAGAGAATCAGAGACAATGCGATTGGCTCAAGATAGAGCCAGGTTCAGGGCTGTTGTTCGTAGGGTCGCTATGAGTGGCATGTGACTCTGTGGCACATAATAACAACACCACCATCTGACGGTTGCTTCCCTCACCCCCAACAATGAGCCCAGAGGTTTGGCTCCATCCCTGACTTTCCAGAGGGGTGTCCCCCGCTTTCTATTTTCTTTTCCTCTTGCACTGGTCTGTCTCTGTCTGTCAACCATCCCTGCCTCTGCTGCATTACCTTCATAAAATGTTTTCACAAATTACTGCTCATGTTCACGTAACTACAGTCACCTCAGCCCATCTCCTTGTGGGAAATATTAGCAAATGGTGAAGAGTTAAAAGAAGTCTAATTTTAGCACATTTTCCAGTATCATATGTGAGGTTAGAATGACATTGCTCGGTTGCTAACCAAAAAGTTGGTGGTTTAAGCCCACCCAGGGCTTCATTAGGGAAAGACCCGGAGATCTACTTGAATAAAGATTTTGGCCGAGAAAACCTTATGAGATGGTTCTGCCACACGGAGTGCAGTGAGTCGAAATGGTCATGATGACACCCAGTAGCAGCCACAGTAACATACATGGAAGTAAACAGTCCCACATTTAAATGAGCAGTGCTGTCCAATAGAAATACATCATATGTAACTTTGGATTTTTGACCAGTCTCATTTTTTAGAAGATGTAAAAAGAAACAGGTAAAATGAATTTTAATCAACGTTTGATTTAATTCAATTGTCGTTTTAATACTTTTGTCCAGCACCACAGCTTAAAGGCATCAATTCTCCTTCTGTCATTCCTAGTCATTGTCCAGCTTTCTGGTGTATAGCATGTAATTGCAAAGACCATGGCCTGGATCAGGTACATCTTGGTCTCTAGGCTGACATTGTTGCTCTTCAACACTCTGGGGAGGTTTCTGACAGCCGACTTTCCCAGTGCAACTTGTCTTTTGATTTCCTGGCTACTGGTACCAAAAGTGTTGATTTTGGAACCAAGAAAACTAAAGCTGTTAACAATCTCAGTCTCTTCACCATCTGTTATGATGCTGCCAGTGGGCCCAGTGGTGACAATCTTTGTTTCTTGATGTTTAAACTCCAATCTATATTGAAGGCTGCAGTCCTTGACCACCTGCAGCAAGCATTAATTCAGTACTATGATATTAAAATATTCTTGTTAATGAGATTTTCACAGTCTCTTTTTCCTATTAAGTCATTGAACTCGGGTATGTACTTTACACTTGTATGTATCTTCGTTTGGACTAGGCGCATTTCTGTCTACAATAGTCACCTGTGGTTCAAAAAAGAAAAATCACAACAAGCTCACCACTGTTCGTTGTTTCTGGTTCATTGCGACCCTTCGTCAGGTTCTCAATCACTATGAGAGGAGACCGTCTTGCTTGAAGCCACTGATGGATTCAGACCTCCTGAGACATGTAGCCTTTGAGTCAGCAGCACAGCTCGCTATGGACTGCACCACCAGAGCTCCTACGTGTAGCTCAAAAAGTTCATCGCCTTTGAATTGGAACCAACTTGTAGCTGACCCTGCATTGGGTTTCTGAGGCTGGAGATAGCATGAGAGGAGATTGCCCATCTTTCTCTCTCTAAGTGGATTTGAACTTCCAGAGAAACATGGCCTTTGGGTTAGCAGCAGCACAGCTCTCTACGGACTGCGCCACCAGAGGGCTACTAAGTTGGACAGCACAGCTCTGCAACTTTAATTCTTGTTTTCAGGAATTTTGTATTTTGTTCTTATTTAAAGAGGAAAGTAGAGAGGAGGCAGGTATTTCTAAGTTACGCATTCATAACACGCAGACAGGTTACTACCAAAGCAAGTGAATTAAACACAGATTCAGGACAAATCTTCATTCTCCTTTGTAGGTTAATGATGCCACCTACGAAATCCCAGATTTTTCACCGACGATTAAAGGTGTTCTTTGGGAAAACTGGCCAATGGATAAAGGTGTATTTGCTGCTTATGACGACGATAAGGTGTACACGTATGTCTTTCACAAGGATACCATCCAAGGTACTTTCTTTTTTTGGAACTTTGCTGGCAAGTGAAGTTACATTTGAAAGCCACCTGAGTGCTCGCTGTCATCCTTAAGTTGTGCATTTTATAATACAGGATCCAAGGTGATTTTGGCAGGAGGCACCAAAGTTCCCTTCTCCCACAAGCCTTTGCTGCTCTATAACGGAGAGTTGACCTGCCAGACACAGAGTGGAAAAATCAACAACATCTACCTGAGCACTCACAGCTTCCTCAACAGTTTAAAAGATGGGGAGCCCAGTCAGCTGAAGCAAATGCTGACGCAGACTTTGATGTTGAAAAGGTAGGATTTAAAGCACCTCTCTTGGAGCTTCTCATTTGCTTTTATGGTTTTAAAGACCTAGATCAAATCCCGTTAAAGTGAGATAATAGTATTAGGAGGATAGTGCAGTGCTTAAAGTCCTCAGCTGCTAACCTGGTGGACAGTATGAACCCACATGAGACTCCTTGGGAAATGTGAGGTGACCTGCCCCTTGGAAGCACTGTGGGGCCGCCCTCCTCCATCCTGCAGGGTCACCAAGTCCGAATCAACTCAGTGGTGGCGAGTAATAGTACTTACCTTGTTTGCTTGATAGGATCATCTTGAAGCTGTGGATATAAAAGTAATCATATGATTCTAGATATTACTGAGCATATCAAATCCATATTATAAAATCATGAGTATGCACATACATAGAGATCTGAAGGGAAATATAGTGGTCCTGTGTTGGTGGTGTTTTAGTACAGGAAAAGGGTTTTTAAGACAAGAGTTTCCAAGAGCCCTGATAGCTGAGTTGCTGTGGAAGTCTCAGGATTGTCTTGATTTCATCATAATGGAGTTTGAGCTTGCCTTGCTTGAGAGCTCCTTTGCTTGGTTTTGTTTTTTTTCCTTCCCTCTTCAGGCCAGTCTGAATTCCTCTGTGATTCTGATTCTTTTGTCTCTTCAAGGTCAAGGAGGTTCCTCAGAGTCACATAAGCTCTCTTCCCTATTGCCCTGATTCTTTCTCCCAAGTCGTTTCTGTTTACCTGCCTTTAGTTACCAGCCAAATGAGGCTGGTTCCAAAGTCTGCATCTTCACCTTAGTACTGTGAGCTCCTCAACAAGCCCTGTCTAAAACAGAACTCCATCTTCCCTAGTCCCCTCCCCTCCCTGTATGCTGACCACACGAGTACTACCCGGCATGCAAGTAGGCTCACACACAAGCACACACACCCCCAGGCCTCATTCTCCCCTCTGTGTTCCCTTGTCTTCGTGCAGACCCTCACCATCTCTCATTTGAACTAATGTAAACCCTCTAACTTTTTTTTCTTCCTATAGTCTTTTGGCCAACTAGTTTTTGAACCCCTGTTTTAAACTACTACAGTTAATAGCAATAGAGCTGAATGGTTGGTGGTTCAAACCCTTTCAGAGGTACATTGGAAGTAAGAGCGAGTGAACTGCTTTTGGAAGATCACAGCCCTGAAATCCCTGTGCAGTGCACCTCTGCTGTGCACATAGGTTGCCATGAGTTGGCATCTATTTGGCAGCAGCTCTGCTGGACCTAGTGAGTAAGGAGTTTTGCTGCCAGCCCAAAGGCAAGCAGTTCGAATCTACCAACTGCTCTGCAGAAGAAAGATGAGCAGTCTCCTCCCAGGCGGTTAACGGCCTCTAAAAATGCACCGAAGAGTCAGGTATGAGTCAGTTCAGACCTGACAGCATTTAACAACAACAATAACAACTAATTTAATTAAGTTGCTGTAAGAACAAAAAATAATTTTCATCTTTGTGTGAAATAAAAAAGAATTGAGGGAGCTCTGATGGCCTAGTGGCGAGAAGCTGTACTGTAATCCCAAAGGTGGTGGTGGTGGTTGTTGTTGTTATGTGCCGTCAAGTCGTTTGCGACTCATAGCAACCCTACGTACAACAGCCCTAAACCCTGCTCTATCCTGTGCCAATCTCACTGCCTCTGACACACCCATCCCGATTACCCCAGTCACTGAATCAATCCACCTCATAGAGGGTCTTCCCCTCCTTCGCCGTCCCTCCACCCTCCCAAGCATGATGTCCCTCTCCAAGGACCTGTCCCTCCTGGCAACATGCCCAGGTGCACAGTTTGAATCCACCAGATGCTCCTCTGGAGAAGGAGGGGCAAAATCTCCTCCACTGTCAGATCCCTTTCGATGGTACACAACAAGAAAAAAAAAGAATTGAATTCATTCTTTTATTAAACCCTGGGATTTCTTAGAGAAGGGGTTTAAGAGAGTGGTTGTAGTGGGTAGATTCAGATTAATAAAGAGAACTCAACAGTAAACATTTATATGTCCAAATAAGAAAGAATAGTTTGCTCTCTTTCCTTTCCTGATGCCGGGAGGTGGCCACTGAGGCAGTGGTGGGAGAGAGGAGCCGCACCTGTGTTACGCTGATCCACATATTTCTGTGTATTTGTCATGAGAGTGCTTGCTTCTGGTGGGTGTACTAAGCAAATAAACTCTTCAATTTACACAAACAAAAAAAAGAATCGTTTACCCTTTCATAGCACACAAGTGAAAATGACAGATTAAGAAAATTTTTTGCAGAATTTCTCTGGGATACGATATTAAATAATCTATCATCTAAGCCTTGCCTAATGGTGCCAAGCAGAGCTCTCTTCATGGAGCTTGTGTACTCAATAGGTTTTCCAATGCGTGGGAAATATGCGAGATTCTGAATGACCATGATGCCTGGAATGAGTTGGCCAGAGTTTGTCTGCATCACATGGAAGTGGAGTTTGCAATCCGAGTGTACCGGACCATTGGCAATGTTGGCATAGTGATGTCCTTAGACCAAATGAAGGTAAATGGCATTTTTAGGAGAATTCCCAGATGAACTTTAAGTGCTGTTTATTCCATTATTTTACATTCTTGTGGTTATATCCAGTTAATAGAACATTCTCACTGCCTCCTGAATGAACCTTAAAACTTTAAGGGTTTGTGTGGCTTTTCATCCAAAATGTTTTTTTGGTGGTTTGTTTGGTTTTTTCTCCCCCCAGGGAATAGAGGACCACAACCTTTTGGCAGGACATCTTGCCATGTTTACTAATGATTTCAACCTGGCTCAGGACCTGTACCTGGCGTCCAGCTGCCCTGTTGCTGCCCTGGAGGTATGGCCACAAATGAGGATGGGAAGAAGGGCTGGCAAAGGGATCATACCTTTTGTACAGTTAATATTTCTCAGCACCAGATGCCACATGCTACTCTGTCCCCGCTCTCCTCCCCATTTGCTGGATTTGTCCATTTTCACTTCAAGATCCTCTGAATTCTTAAGAACGTCAAAAATAATCTTTTCATTCTGCCTTCTATCGAGGCATAAAAGTCATAGTATTATAATATTCCTTAGTAAATAAAAATAGAAAAGTGTCCAAAGAGAATAGCTTCTGCTTTTCACAAAAATGTATAAACTATTTAAAAAAAAAAAAGCAAACCAAACAAAACTCATTGCCATGAAGTCAGAATCGGCTCCTAGACGGTCCTCCAGCGGGTTTTCATAGGACGTAATTCACTTGGTGGCGACTGTCCATCCTTCTCCTGAGGAGCCTCTGGTGGATTCTAATCAATAGAGAGGCACCTCCTTCGGCATAGCAGCACAGCTCTCTATGGGCTACACACCCTACCAGAGCTCCCTGCATGGAAATAAGCCAACATTTAAAGAGTGCTTATGCACACCAGGCACTTCTCTCATTTAAGCCTCAAAACAATTCTGTGAAAAAAAGATGGTTGGAGTTGTTTTTTTTCTCCATGATGGGAAATCCAAGGCACATTTACCTTTTACTTATATGAAATTCTTTTGTCTCTTAAAAGATGGGCTTAGGACCCATGTATCATCACAGTTTTTTCTGGAGATGAGTGTTAAAGTTGGGGGACTAGGACAAAGTGAAAGATTTAGTTCAAGGGCAGATAAGAAAGGAGATGTGGCGATATAGAATAATGATTATGAACGTGGACTTGAGGGTCAGACATACAAAAAAGAAGGAACCCACTGCCATCAGGTCAGTTCCAGCTAATGCTCTGTTGGGTTTTAGAGTCTGTAATGATTTCTAGAAGATGATTGCCCATCTTTCCACCTCAGAGAGACTGGTGTATTCAAACCACCAACTTCTGGTTAGTAGACCAACATAATGCACTGTGCCATCCAGTGCTGCTTAGAGTCAGACATAGTCGGACAAAAACCAACTTTATCTCCACCTTGGACAAGTTCTCTAATCCTCTGATCCCTGGGCCTGCTTTTCTGAGGTGGAATGATAACATCCACCCCACAGGCTAGTGATAGAAGTTTTAAAATGAGATAAGATCTTTCAGCATGGTCTCTGACCAACAGTGACATCTCAAAAATGGCTGTTGTCATTATTCATACCCTTCCTTCTTAAGCCAGCATTTCTTCAACAGTTCAGAGGAGGTTGTTTTAAAAGGATTTGCTACTAACCTTGTAACTTCCCTTTTTTAGATTGCTCTATAGGAAAATTTTCAGGTGAACTAAATTTGTTCTGAGACAAATTTAGAGGATTTTATGATACTGAGAGAATTGGGAATACTGGGGAACTTTTCAAATTTGGATTGGTACACACTGAAGAAGGAGTACAGCTCCAGTGAATGAGACAGACATTTCTGCATTTTGCTGTTACACAGATCGTGTACTGTGAGGTTCTTACAAGACTGGTGTTTGTGGCTCTAGAATAAAGAGGTCTGTTTGCGTGATCATTCCTTTAAGCTCATTTTGAAGACTGATATGTTAGCCAAGAGAAGAGGTCAGAGGCAGAGCCTTACAGCTCAGCTTTGTTTCATACAAGCTGAGCATTTCTTTGCCTCAGTTTCTGCATCTCTAAAATGGGGACAAGCTCTTTCCATCTTTCATAGGGTATTTATGAAAAGGAATGAGCTGCTAGAACAGTGCGAGCAGAGAATAAGCACATGAGCAATATTAGTAATTATGAAAGGCTTTTTACGAAGTGGGACTAAAGTGTAGGAAGCGTTTTAAAAGGTTCTTTAATAATTCATTTATATTTGGATTATATACCAGCCACGGACAAAAGAAGGCAGGAGTCAGGAAGAAAGAGCCATTTGATTTGTGTTTATAATCTTTGTTGTTCATTTCCTAGGGCTTCAAAGGCCTGTTCTGTTAGAAGTGGATAGCCAGTCTTCCTTCCTGCTTTGTCTTCATTTGAAATCTCAGCTTTAGTACAGTATCTGACAGACAAATATTTTACCCAAAAGAGCAGATGATAGACAAACAGATGTAAGTGTATCTCAGCATGCAAAGACACTTCAACAGGAGATCATGCTTGGAAAGGTAGAGGGGAAGACCCTGGATGAGATGGATTGACACAGTGACTGTCATAATGAGGTCAGAGATGGTGAGACTGGCTCAGAATAGGCCAGGATTCAGAGGTGTTGGTCGCTATGAGTCATAGTTGATTGAACAGCACATAACAACAACATTGTCATTCTGCATAGGCCTGGTGATGCAGTAGCTAAGCGCTCATTTGCTATTTGAAAGGTTGGCAGCATGAACCCATCAGATACAGGAGCTCTGGTAGCTTAGTGATAAGGAGGATAGCTGCCAGTCCAAAGATCTGCAGTTTGAATTCACCGTCTCCTCACAGGAATAGTGTCCTCCCATGCAATTCACCGCCTCTAAAAACCCACTGGTGGGTCAGCTGTGAATCGGTTTTGACTCGATGCCACGTAACAGCAGCTTGGGAGACTGACATGGCAGCCCGCTTCTTTCAAGGTTTTCAGCCGTGGAGAGGGTTACCCTGACTCAGAGTGAGCTTGATGGCATTCGGTTTAGTATTTATCATTCATATTGTGAAATAACTTTAGATTTTGTCTAAAAATAAACCAATTCCTATAGTATAATGCTTCTCAACTTTTTATTATCACCTCAGAAAAGAACTAGTTTATATGATGGACTAAAATTCATTTAAATTTCATCTCTCTTTGTTGAGAAGAACTAAATAGTAGGGTTTTTGTGGTAGACTAGCGCTTTGGAGGGCCACACACCATTGAAATCACTAAGACTTGCTTGTTCCCTAAGAACCAGTTTTCTCTCCTTTGAGGATGATGTCACTCCCACTCAGAGTGCATGCTATTGTAATATCTTGGCCAAGATTAAATTTCATTATTTAAATAAGTTTTTGTGATCATTTTTATTAAAACTGGTGACTCTTACAAGCTAATTGACCCATCTGAAAAAAGGTCCCTCTCTTCCTCACAGATGAGAAGGGATTTACAACACTGGGACAGTGCTTTACAGTTAGCGAAGCGTTTGGCCCCTGACCAGATACCACTTATATCAAAGGAATATGCCATTCAGCTTGAATTCACGTAAGTCTGCTTCTTTATTGAGTGCTATATGTTTTCAGTTCTGAGTTGCCATTAATTGTATGATCCTCTATTGATGTAATTTCTTTTCAGGAAAAACAAACAAAAAAAATTATTAAATGTACATTAAAAAAATTTATTTTGCTAATTTTTCTAATTAATGTAACCTTACAGTTATCTACTTTCATTTTCAGTCTCAAAATCTAAGTTTAGGTCTAATTGTCTAGCTTTGGTTCAAGTTACTTTTGGTCATTAGCAGTATGCGTGGCAGCAGGGCACCACACCACTTTACATAGCCTCAGCTCATGAATTTGACCTCTGTTAACACTCGGAGGATTTGCAGTGTCATTTCACTGTGTGGTGGAAAATCTCAAGTTTTAGTACAGATCCTCTATTTACTGAAAAGTATAGTTTGGTTTCTGAAGGTTTGTGGTTTTTTTTCTTTTTATGGTTGAATTGTGTCTGAATAAAAATAAAACAGCTTAGTTGTAATTCTTTGTGATGCATAAATAGGCTCATCTGTCTCTCCTGCCTATGAAAATACCACCATCTCTTTAGTCTGAGTTTCCGTAATTTCTGATACTCTTAATTACTCTGACAGACTTTGAATTGTTTCATTGCTCATGTGGCAGTGTAATTCTAGAGCCGGTTGGGAACTAGTTTTACATTAACATGCAGCTGTGGTGGTGCTGCCAACATAAATACCTGGAGAAGCAAAAATGAATGTTTTCCCCACAAAAAGAAGTTCACAGGTGTATGTGCAATGAGGAATCCATTATGACTTTCTTTGGCAACTGGGGACTTCCTTTTGACATTTATTATATGTTACATCCCAATTTCAAGAATATTAAAATTTGAAGGGAAAATTATCTTTGAGTGACGATAATATGGTTAGTTGTTGTTTTGTTTTTTAACATTTGACTTTTTTCTTAAAGCATACTTGTCCGTAGTCCCACTTTATTCTCATGGAGATTTTAGAGTTAAGAATATTGAAACACAAAGTACAGTTGTGTAAATTATTCCCTCAGAGTACTTTCATTTCTAACCAGGATACCACATTTAAAATGTTACATCCTCTTGGACAGAGTGAAACCAAGTTTCTCCTTGGAGGCTAGGATTTTGAAGCTCTGTCTCTCATACTTTGGGCACATGGCCAGGAGAGACCAGTCCTTGGAGAAGGACAGCATGCTTTGAAGAATGGAGGGACAGTTCAGGAGAGGAAGACCCCAGAAGAGATGGGTTGATACAGTAACTGGGGCAACGAGGGTTGCTGTGTTGAAATCAGTGAGATGGCTCAGGACAGGGCAGGCTTCCGAGCTGCTGTACATAGGGTCTCTATGGATCGCAGGCGTCTTGACCACACATAACAACAACAACAACTAAAAGTTTTATGGAGCTTTCTAATATTCTTAGTCCAAGTTGACTTAATTTGGATCTGTTTTTGAACCCTTACAGATTCATGTATTTAAAAGAGTAAATGGACATCTTAATACGTAACACAAGTGACAAAGCCTCACAGTCTTTTCCCACTATGTGCATCCTGAGGGTGACTGAATCTTAGAGATAAATGTGTTAGTAATGTATTGAGGCATATGTCCATCCAATCACAACACCAATGCCCGAGTACGCCTTGTTGTAATTTTTCAGAAGCAGTTAATCACACGAAAGGAGATTGCCTGTCTTTCTCCTGTGGTGCAGCTGGTGGCCTCAAACTTCTTGTTTCTGGGATTACAGAGCAACTTCTTGGCAACTAGGCCATCAGAACTTCTTAGTCCATCTCAAAGACTTTGGTTTTCAAACCTTGCAGGGAATTGAAGTTTTGCAACAAACTCTAAAATTTTGTCTCATTCTAATCAGATACACTGAAGTCAGCAAAGGGTCCTGGGCTTTGTTGCTGTTTTCTATTCTTTCTGCCCAGAACTTGACAATGAAGCTGTCATTTGCAAAGCTTTTCTGCTATTCTATGTTCTGACCCCGGGAACCTGATCTAGATACACATCTTCATCCTCACTGTCAGTTTCTCTTGTTACCACGGAGAAGAGTACTGAATATCCCCTGGGTTGCTAAAAGAACAAACAGCTGTGTCTTAGAGAAAGTGCTCCTTGGAGGCAAGGATGGCAAAGCTTTGTCTCTTTTTGGTCATATTGCTAGGAGACGCTATTCCTTGGAGAGGAACATCATGCTTGGAAGGATAGATAGTCAGCAGAAGAGAGAGAGGAAGACTCTCAGCCAGATGTGTTGGCACAGTGACGGCAGGCTTGGGCTCAAGTGTATCAGAGATGGAGATGGCACAGGATAGGACAGGGTTCAGATCTGTGGTTCACAGGATCACTAGAAGTCGTAGTTTACTTGACGGCACCCAACGACAACAGCTTGGGTATATATATATTTTTTAATTTTATTATTTCTGTATGAGTGTACCGTCAAATCAGATCTGACTGGTACAGGAGGAGACTGCCCCTCCTTCCCCGGCAGAGCATCTGGTGGATTCGAACCATGTGCCTCTGGGATTGTAGTTGCAGCTCCTTGCCACTAGGCCACCAGAGCTCCCCTCAGCTTGGGTATATTTCATCAGCGCCAAAGATCCCAGCAGCTACCAACTGCTGACTTTGACCCGTGAGACCCTAGGCCTATGCTTAGTTCCAACAGTCTTTATGATAAAAATAGACTTTTTCATAATGCATTCAAGATCTTGAAACAGGACAATCTAAATAAGGGAAAGATATAGTTCTGTAATCTCAGATTATTAGGCTAATGAGTGAGATTCATATGTTGTTTTTGTTGTGTATCACAGAATCAGAACCAACCCATAGCTGACCCTCCAGTGCGTTTTCAGAGGCAGCTAATGACATGTGAGGAGAGTGCCCTTCCTTCTCCCACAGAGCACCTGGTGGCCTCAAACCGTGTGCGTTCGGGACTGCAGCACAGCTTCTTGCACCAAGATGCTATCAAAATAAAATTAGAATTCCAGAATCATGATTTAGCACCTCCCAGTTGAGTTTGCTCAGGGAAAACCCTCGGCTTATGAAGGAGGGACTGTCTTTACTGTTGTCAGGAAACATCTCTAACCAGGTTAATAGGGATGAGTAAAAAATTCACAACTTCCTCCCAGGAACATTGTTGGCAGAGTAGAGCTGGGTTTGTAAAATGGAATTCCCAATAAATAACAGCCTCTCTTCCAGGAACTGCATCAACAGATAGGGAACTGAAGACCCTAGTGAAGTCAAGTAACTTGCTTGTGTTGGTAAATGGTAGAACCCAGGTACCGGCCCTTTCAGGAATTGACTCATTTATTCTGGAGAAGGTGGGGGTTTTCTTAGAGAAAGAAGGATCTCAGAAAGGACCATAGGCAAATCACTGACCCAGTCTGTTCTAAATAATTAAAAGAAGTTGAGGCTCTCTACTTCTCGTCAATCCACAGATTGCCCTCTCTAGATTGTCCCTCCTTTTTCAGTAGAACATGTGGTGGATTTGAACTGTGTGTCTCTGGGATTGCAGTGCAGCTTCTTGCCACTAGGCCACCAGAGCTCCCTCTTAATAACCTTTTTTTAAGTTGTTGTTGTTGTTGTTGTTATGTGCCATCGAGTCGTTTGCGACTCATAGCGACCCTGTGTACAACAGCCCTAAACCGTGCTCTATCCTGTGCCAATCTCATTGCCTCTGACACACCCATCCCGATTGCCCCAGTCACTGAATCAATCCACCTCATAGAGGGTCTTCCCCTCCTGCACTGTCCCTCCACTCTACCCAGCATGATATCCCTCTCCAAAGACCTGTTTCTCCTTGCAACATGTCCAAAGTATGTCAGACGAAGCCCCAGAATCCTTGCCTCCAAGGAGCAGCCTGGTTTAATCCTCTCTACAATGAATCTGTTTGTTTTCTTGGCAGTCCATGGTACATTCAATACACAGCTCAAAGGCGTCAATTCTCCTTCTATCCTCCCTAGTCATTGTCCAACTCTCTGATGCATAACAAGTGATTGCAAAGACCATGGCCTGTATCAGGTGGACCTTCGTCTCCAGAGAGACACTGTTGCTCTTGAGTATTTTGGAGAGATCCCTTACCGCAGACTTTCCCATCGCAATACATTTTTTTATTTCCTGGCTACTGGTGCCAAGAGTGTTGACCGTGGAGCCGAGCAAACTGAAGCGGTGAACAATCTCAATCTCTTTGCCATCCATCCTGATGCTACCGATTGGTCCAGTGGTGAGAATTTTTGTCTTCTTGACATTGAGCCTCAGTCCATATTGAAGGCTGCATCCTTGACCCTCTGCAGTAAGTGCATGAGGTCCTCCTCAGTTTCAGCGAGCAAGGTTGTGTCATCTGCATAACGCAGATTGTTGATAGATAGTCCACCAATCCTAACACCACGCTTCTCCTCATAGAGCCCAGCCTCTCGGATAATCTGCTCTGCATATAGGTTGAAAAGGTATGGAGACAGGACACATCCCTGGCGTACACCCTTCCCAATTTTGAACCATGCAGTGTTGCCCTGCTCTGTTCTGACTACTGCCTCTTGGTCCAAGTATAGGTTTGTTTGTTTTTTAAGTAGAAGAATAATAAGGGACTACTCTTTGAGAGCTTTGGTGGCCTAGTACATAAGAAGTTGCATTGGAACCCAAAGGCAGGCAGTTCAAATCCTTCAGCAGTCCAAATCCACTGGAGAAAGATGGAAAGTCTCCATTCATTTGGATTACAGCCTCTGAAAACCCCCCGGACATTCAGCTCTGAGTCATTTCCGACTCAACAACACATGACATATTTTGAAAGAAGATGCTTGCATATATATTATTTATCACATCTCATGTAAACTTAAGCAGCTTAATATCAGGATCTGGTATGTATAAATCTTATATTTATAAATATTTAAATATTAAAAGTCACTCTGATTTTTCTTACAGGGGTGATTATGTAAATGCATTGGCTCATTATGAGAAAGGAATAACAGGTGATAATAAGGTAACTTTAAATAAAAATATACTAGGTATGCTTCACTTTCATTTTAAAATCATAATCTTAGTTGCATCATATTTATTCACTATTTTCCCCAGTTTTTAGGAACCTTAAATAACTCTCTAAAACTTTTAATACTCTTTAAAAACTTTAAAATTGAAGATAACATTTTTACCAGTTTGAAAAAGATCCATTTCTACTGCACTCTAAACATGAACTTTCTTTTTTTATTGTTATTGATATTTTATTGTAAGTTTATAAAGAATTTGGATTTCCATTCATTCATTGTTGCACATTTTTCTCCCTGCCCCAACCACGTTCGCTTTTTTTTTTTTTTAATGTTCTTTCATTGTTATGTAGTCCCCCGCCCAGACTACTATGCAGCTCTTATTCTGGACTCTTGTTGTACCAATAAACCTAATTATGAACTTCTTTAATTTGTTTGGAGGGAGCTCTGGTGACATAGTCCAAAGGGAGTGATGCTGCTAAACTGAAAAGAGCCACCTCTCTGGAGGTTCGAATCTACTGGCACCTCCTCAGGAGGAAGACAGACCATTTACTGCTTCGCTAGAGGGTCATCTAAGGGTCAATTCCAGCTTTACACCAATGGCGTGAATTGAGTTTACCTAAATTGGAAGTAGCATTTTTCTCCCTTTTCACTTCTTGATCAGCTGTTTTTCCCTATGGCTTTTCTTTTTACCCTTTAAAAATTTCAATAACTACTTTGAAAGTTAGTCCCAATCCACAAGAGTGCCTTCTGCCACATCTTTTGCTCTGTTGTCTTTTAAGCTGAACCTGAAACTGTACACGTGACCCACTGTGTTCCTCTATCCCACAATCCCAGGATTTTAGTTTGGTGAATAAAATTTTATAAAAAGCATGATTTTTTTAAGTTAGGTGATATTTTGTAAGGATTGAACATATTTGCATGTTCAGTTTTATAGCTTAGATTTTCATCATATAAGTAACAGAAGCTCATTATGGTTAATTGAAAAATCATGAGGTTATGGTCACAAGGACAGTGAGATGCCAATATTTTCTCCTTTATCCACATCCACTAATGGTAGCTGTTATTATCGATTTTCCATCTTTCATTTAAAATTTCCTCTAAGCATACACATTATGTGAGTAATAAGGATTTTCACTAAAGACAAAAGAACTTTTTTTTTATTTTTATTTTTTGTTATATTTGTGTGTGTACCATCAAATCAGATCTGACTGTACAGGAAGAGATTGTTTCCCCTTCTCCAGCAGAGCATCTGGTGGATTTGAACCATGCACCTTTGGGATTATAGTGTATCTTCTTGCCCTTAGGCCACCAGAGCTCGCTAAAAGAACTTTTTTTTAAAAAAGAAAATCTCAATACTATTGAAAAGCTTTATGCCTTATCTAAAAAAGATTTATGACCATAAACTAGATCCTCTGGACTCATTTTATATTTAAATTCTATGTTCCTTATGGACTACAACAGTTTAAGCTCTGAGTGATTTGGATTTGCCTCACAATTACAGGAACATGATGAAGTGTGTCTGGCCGGAGTGGCCCAGATGTCCATTAGAATGGGGGACATACGCCGAGGGGTGGCCCAGGCCCTCAAACATCCCAGCAGGGTTCTTAAGAGAGACTGTGGAGCCATTCTGGAGAATATGAAGGTACACTGTTCTTGGCATGAATATTCATTCACGCGCTCTTAGACATAATGAATTAAGAGTTTTAATAATCTCCTGTTATCTCAGCAATTTTCAGAAGCAGCTCAACTGTATGAAAAAGGCCTGTACTATGACAAAGCAGCATCTGTCTACATCCGCTGTAAAAACTGGTAAGAATTTGTGCACATTTGTTCCACAGAGGCTTTTGGAATAAGGGTACCAGCCATTGACACCCCACTTGTTACTCTTTCCACCTGTACCTTCTATTCCCCTCCCTGGCACCTTCTCTTTTTTTTCTTCTTGGATGACTACATACTAAGAGCCTTTTCCCCTGAAAATAAATACATTCATCTGGTTGCTTATGGGAAAATCCCTAATTAGAGAATTCCTAAGGGACGTGAGGAGGCCCTTTGTTTTCCTACCTTTGATGTAGGGGTCAAGTAAAAGCAATTAAATCTACTTTTGCCAAAATAAATAAATCTGCTACATATAATCTATTATATATTCTAAATCTAGGGAGTTTGTGTGGCCTAGTGGCAAGAAGCTGCACTGCAGTCTCGAAGGCACAATTTGAGGCCACCAACTACTCGACAGGAGAAGGATGGGCAATCTTCCTGTGCAATTAACTGCCTCTAAAAACCTGCTGGGGGGTCAGCTTTGGGTCGGTTCCAACTCTATAGTACACAACAACATTATAAATATATTAATTTATATATAGTATGTGGAAGCACGAGTGGCATCTACGTCCTAAACCACATGCCTCTGAAAACTCTGTGAACTTGGAGAAATTACGATAGTTAGAGAAAGGCTTCAGGCCTTTTGTTCATAGGGTCGCTATGAGTTATGTTCGACTCGAAAGCAATCAACAACAACATATATAATATATATATACTGTATGTATAAATATAGCTCCAATATAAAGGCTATGATTTCTGTATTGGTTGTAGAATGCTGCTTTGGAGTTAATATTAGTACTAATGTTACTCTCCTGAACCTGTCTTTCTAGGGTCAAAGTTGGTGAGCTTCTGCCTCACGTCTCTTCTCCTAAGATTCACTTGCAGTATGCCAAAGCTAAAGAAGCAGATGGAAGGTTTGTACACTCCCACAGATGCACACAGATATAATTAGCATCAATATTTGCAAGAGGTGAAGGCAGAGTGCTCCTGAGAAGCAAGGATGCCGAGACTTCATCTCACATGCTGTTGGCATATTATCAGGAAAAAACATTCCCCCGAGTATGACATGGTGCTTGGAAAAGGAGAGGGTCCAAGAAAGAGAGGAAGACCCTCCGTGAGATGTTGCTGCAACAGTGCACTTATTAAGCACAGCAGAGATTGTGAGGAGGGCATGGGACCTGGCCAGGCTTCTTTCTGTTGTGCGTAGGGACACTGAGAGTCAGGGCTGATTCAATCAGCACCTAACGATAGCAAAAGCAGGAAAGGCAGAAGGAGATTTTGTGGCACAGTGGTAAAACACTGAGCCACTAACCAAAACAGTTGTGACTCATACATATCCAGGTACCTCCCAGGAGAAGGCAGGAGGTCGGCTTCAGGTCACAGCGAGGAGAGCCTGTGGTGCAGCTGGTTCTCTGTCACGCTCGGTGAGTCAGAATTGACTCTACAGCACCTAACAACAAGAAAAAGGCAAAATGAGGAAAGACAAAAAATGTCTTTCTATTCCCTTCTCCAGTTTAGCACAGCAAAATGTAAAGTCTTCTTATACCTCAAAGCCTTCAATCCCTCTCCTGTGTATTTAATTTTAGATTGTTGTTTTGTGCTGTCGAGTCACATAGGACTCATAGACACCCTGTATACAGTAACTCTGAAGTCTGCCCTGTCCTGAGCCAATCACACTGTATCCAGTACACCTACCCTCACTACCCCCACTACCGTGCCAATCCATCTCATCCAGGGTCTTCCTCTCCTGCACTGTCCCTCCACCCTTCCAAGCATGATGTCCCTCTCCAGGGACTGATCCTTCCTGACACCATGCTTAAAGTATGTCAGACAGAGCTTCAAAATTCTTGCCTCTATGGAGCAACTTGGTTTTACCCTTTCTAGGGAAAACCTGTTTGTTCTCTTGGCAGTCCATGTTATGTTCAAGACTCTTCTCCAGCACCACAACTCAAAATCATCAATTCTTCTTCTGTCATCTTTAGTCATTTTCCAGCTCTCTGATGCATAGCAAGTCATTGCAAAGACCATGGCTTAGATGAGGCATACATACCTTAGTCTCTAGACTGACATCGTTGTTCTCTAGCACTCTGGAGAGGTCTCTAAGAGCAGATTTTCCTAATTCAGTTCGTCTTTTGATTTGGTGGTTAAGTAATGGAAGTTGAATTTTTTTTTATCTAATATGACATGCAAATGAAGCACTAAGAACTTTATCAAGGAGGGTAAACAGAAGGAAAAGTGACAAAGCAGGGACCCACACTTACGGCTGCCCTGAGCAAGCCACACACAGTATTCACATTTAGCAATTACTCATCCTTATGGCTGTCGCGTCAGAACTGACTGACCCTCCATTGGGTTTCTGAGGCTGTGAACTGAATGGTTGGAGATAGCCCATCTTTCTCCCTCACAGACCCTGATCAGTTGGAACTGCCAGAGGGGTAAGTCAGCCAACTCCCCATGGACTGCACCACTGGAGCTCCCTGAAGATAGGGAAAGTGCTAGTCCTCAGTATACAGTTGTCAAGATCTGTTACAATGCAATTCAAAAGACAAAAGTGGGGAATGGGCCAAGAACAGGATGATGGCAGGTGCCAGGTAAGGAAATACGGCTATCAAATAAATGTGAGAAAAGTTCCACCTTATTAAAAAAAATGAAATTCAGGCAGTAATGTCATTGTAATCGATCATGTTGGCAAAAAGTGTGTCAAAATGCACTTGCTCTTCATGACCAATTGGAATATAAATTTCTGTATTTTGGGTAATAATTTGGTGGTATGTTTTAAGATATTTTTAAAGGTTAATACTCTCCATTTTTAGGGAGCTCTGGTGTTCTAGAGGGTAAGAAGTTACATTGCCAACCCAAAGCAGGCAGTTCTAATCCACCAGCTGCTCTGAAAGGGGTAAGATTCCAGCCTCTGAAAATCCAGAGGTTCAATGCTGGGTTGGTTCAACTTGATAGCACATAACAGCAACAGCATCCTTCCCTTCTTAGAAGAGTAGGCAGCTCTGGTGGCATAGCTTGTAGCACATTTTGCTGCTAACTGAAAAGTCAGAGGTTCAAATCCAGCACTACCTCTGCAGAAGAAAGATGAGCGTTTTCCTCCTGTTAAGATTTACAGCCTCACAACTCAGATACAGGTTATATGAATTAGAGCCAAACTGAAGGAAGACATTAGATTTAGGAAAGTGAACTTAGGAAGCAGAACTCTGGGCTAACGTCATACTGAAATGAAAAGTGCTAGATAGAGAACTGGGGACTGAGAAGAGGTCTTGAGCTCCATCTACAGGATTGTCTCTGTCTCACTGTTAGGGGTTTATCTATAATTGTGACAAAATCTGGGCTTTCTGTTTGCCCTGCTAATAGTTTATTATACTTTACAGAATCCCCTGTTCATTAAAAACAAACAAACAAACAAACAAACACTGAAATGTTAACAATTTTATTTTGGGTCAGATAAAATGGATGTAGTTCAGACGAAAAAGCACAATGCCCATATTAGTATTTCAGTATTGTGTTAGCCAATCCCTAAAAAGAATGTGTTCCTTGTTTGCATGATTTCTGATGTTTTTTTCTCAATGAAAGAGAAAAGAAGTTCAAGAAAATTAAGTGACTACCAACAATAAAGGGAGCTCTGGTGGCGTAGTCCACAGGGCGTTGTGCAGAACCCACAGTCAGAGTCTAGGAGTTGATCCCAACTAGATGGCGATGAGGTTTCGACCGTGAATGAAACAGAAAAATATGGCTCCCAAGTGCTGAAAATACAACAGCGTTAGTAAGCAAATCTAAACTAAGCGGTTTTTGCAGATACAAAGAAGCTGTTGTGGCGTATGAGAACGCCAAACAGTGGAACAGCGTGATCCGCATCTATCTGGACCACCTCAACAATCCTGAGAAGGCCGTCAGCATTGTCCGCGAGACCCACTCTCTGGACGGAGCCAAGATGGTGGCCAGGTAATGGAATGGACGCAGTCTGGGCTTCCAAAGACTAGCCCAAAGGAAAACTTCACCTTTCCCTCCTGGAAAAATAAATGCAAAGGGAATATTTCTCTTTTTTTATATTTTTACTCAGTGTCTGTGTTTAAATTCAAAGGCTATTATGAACAGCACGTGAGATTGTTTTTCAAGAATAATATATCATGTAGAGCTTCCATTTACCTAATGAGCTCTTCTTTTTAAATGGTTTCTTAGAGTTGAAAAAGGCTCCATTGTATAAGACTCAAACGAATTCTAAGTGTAGCTAATGGAGAATATTTTGTTTCAGGTTTTTCCTCCAGTTAGGTGACTATGGATCTGCCATCCAGTTTCTTGTCATGTCCAAATGCAATAATGAAGCGTTCACATTGGCTCAGCAGCACAACAAAATGGAAATCTATGCGGACATAATTGGTAAATACCATTGTTTTCTCTAATTTCTTTTCAATAATTTTATCCTTAAAAATGCCTTGACTCCAAGCAAGTTTCCAGAGTCGAACTACTTCCTAGGGTTTCCAAGGCTGTAAATCTTCACTGAAGCAGAGGAGTGCCGCCTCTTTCTCTTGAGCCGCTTCGGGTAGGCTTGAACTGATGACCTTTCAGTTAGCAGCCAGGCATTTTAACCACTGTCCCACAGTAGCTCCTCCTTGTTATCAGATTAATATACACATGAAAATACACACACATATATGTTATTTGCGAGATTACAGATCTCCTTCCTTAAGAGTTCCTTAGTGCTATAAACAATTCAGTTGGCTACTAACCCAAAAGATGGAAGCTTGAATCCATCCAGAGTTACTGTGGAACAAAGACTTAGTGTTCTGCTTTCTGATAAATCGGCCACAGAAAACCTTATTTCATAAAGGATTTCTCTGACACATGTGGTGCTGTGATGCCAAGTCAAGTTAACAACAATTAGTTAATTACTTACTTAGTTACCATTACCATCAAGGTAGGATGGTATTATGAGGACAGTTTTAAAATTTAAATAAGATTTTTTTTTGGCTAACTACCAAGAGGCCACTTTTCAGGATCATTTTTTAAAAAATGTAAATGTGGCAAGCTCTGGTGGCCTAGTGGCAAGAAGCTGCACTGCAATCTCAGAGGTACACGGTTCAAATCCACCAGATGCTCTGCTGGAGAAGGAGGAACAATCTCCTCCTGTATGAGTCAGATCTGATTTGACGGTACACACAAAAAATAATGAAATAAAATAAAAATATTTTTTTTAAAAAAAGTAAATATGTTCAGGAAACTGATGGCATCTTGGGTAGAGAGTTGTACTACCAACCCAAGGGTGCATGGTTCAAATCCACCAGCCTTCTTTTGGGTGAAAGACGGGGCAAGCTCCTCTCATAAGGATTTAGAGCCTCTGAAAACCTAGTTGGAGGGTGACTGTGCATTGGAACTGACTTAACAGCAGTGGTTTGGGTTTGGGAGTTATGGTACACAAGTTGAGTTCTTTAAAGATCTTTGAAGATCCAAAACCAAATTTTATATTCTGGGAATACTTACAGGTTTTCTTCCCATGCTTTTTATTCTCAGAAACTGGAAAGATTGGCCCCAGCAAGACATTATTTGTGTTGTTTTGTTTGCTTTATTTTGCTTTTTTTAATTCACAAAATGGCCTTAGTCATTGATAGGATTCCTGAGAAAATGTTTTAGACTTCATGAGAAGAAATGAGGGAAAAGACCTTGGGAGGTCATTAAGATAATTTCAAAGAGGGGAAAAGTCATGAAAATAAAAGAATTGTAGATAATGGTGATAGCATACTTAATTGTCCTCATTCAGAATCTATACCTAAACCAAGAAGCTGTTGTTTGAATGGAGGAAGGGGTTTAAAATCAGGCAGGGTGTGTGTCAGCATTGTATCCTTTTTTCTGTACATACTCAGTCTGCATACCAAGCAAGTAATTTGCGAAGCTGGACTCTGTGAAGAGGAATGTGACATCAGGAGTGTAGGAAGACTCGTCAATAACCTGCATTATGCAGATGACACAACTTTTCTTGCTGAAAGTGAGGAGGATATGAAAGGCTTGCTGCAGAAGATCAAGGGACTACAGATTTCAGTGTGGATTGCATCCCAACATCAAGAAGACAAAGATCCTCACAACAGGCCCACCAGTCAACATTAGGGTAGATAGAGAAAAGATTTGAGCTCTCAATGGTTTAATCTCGCTTAGATCAACAGTTGATATTCCTGGTACCAGCAGTCAGGAAATCAGGAGACATATTTCACTGGGAAAGTTAGCTATCAGGGACCTCTCCAAAATACTAAAAAACAGTCCTATCAGTTTGAAGATGTGCCTAATTCAGGCCATGAACTTCTCAATCACCTGCTATGCATCAGAGCGCTGGACAGTGAATCAGGATGACAGAAGAAAAACTGATATACCTTTGAGTTGGAGAAGAGCACTGAATATCTCATTGACTTCCACAAGAACAAATGGATATGTCTTGGAAAAGGTGCAGCCCTCTCTTCCTTGGAGGCAAAGACAGCAAAACTTTGTCTTTCATACTTTAGACATGTAGTTAGCCAAGGCTGTTGTTTGGAAAGGGACATCATGCTTGGAAAGATAGAGGGTCAACAAAGGAGAAGAAGATCCTCAGTGAGATAGACTGACACAGTGACTTCAGCAACGGGCTGCGTGTCAGAGATCATGACGATGGCACAAGATAGGGCAGGGTTCAGGTCTGCTATCCATTGGTTCTCTGTGAGTCATACTCTATTCGATGGCACCTAACAACAACCAAAACAAGTGCTGGTGGCATTTCCTTTCTAACATTAAAACATGTCAGTGCAGTAACATGTGTCCAGTTTTTCTAAGTTCTTGGGAAAGAGGTAATCTTTTCCAAGAAAATATAAACCTCAAACTCCACTGAACCTAAAAATACACTTTTTTTTGTTTGTTTTACTGTCTTTTACTGCCTTTTAAATAAATCTATAGTTGGCTTGGGCTGCAGTCAGAGAGGTGTTGGTGCAAGGCTTCGTATCCTGTTGGGCCTGGAACTTATAGATAGATGTTAACAATGAATTGGAACTCTAGCATCTTCAGAGTTCTTCTTCCTCTGTGTTTAATATGCTTACACACCAAATTTTAAAAAAAAAATGTAAATAACATTAAGGGCCAACTAAATGACCATCATCTTTCTCTTACGACAGATAGACCCCCTAGAGTGTTGTTTAAATTTTCTCTCTGGTTGAGCACTACTTGCTGAAAGGTTTGTTTTTCAAACCAACCTGGGGCCCCTTGGCAGACAGGCCTGGTGATCTGCTTCTGAAAGTTCTGGATAAACCCATGGAGAAATTCTACTCTGCACACATAGGGCCACCAGGAGCCAGAATCAATTAATGGCAACTAACAACAAAGTTGTTTAAACCACCAGCTGCTGAGGGAAGGAAGTTGTAAAACGAAAGAATTTGTTTTGTGGTTAACTTTACTTCTGGTGTTCTATAACTTCGGGTAAATCATGGCTGAGGATTTTCGTTGTAGTTGTTGCTCTTGTTTTTGGAAATGAGACTGAGACTCTTTCGATCAGCCATTTGAGATGTGCAGGCTATAAACTCGCTCCTCACAGAAACCTCCTCATTTCCTCTTCTGGTTCCTTTTTTAGACTGAAAAGAAAAAAACAAAGCATTGATATTCAGGATAATTACGATGGAGGTGTTTCATGGTGAAAACAGACACTGATTGCATTGACATTTGCAGTTTTAAAGTTTTTATCCATCTCTTTCTGGAGCACCTGTTTTTAGATCTTATTTTTAGATTGGCGATAAAAAGAAACAGGTTTCACTCAAAGCTAATTGAGTCAATGATCTTCTGTTGCAGGCTCTGAAGACACTACTAATGAGGATTATCAGAGCATCGCCTTATACTTTGAAGGAGAAAAAAGACATTTTCAAGCTGGAAAATTCTTCTTGCTCTGCGGCCAGTATTCCCGAGTTAGTATAATATTTGCTAAAAAAGCATACACAGAATTCTGCTGCAGTGGTTACAGGAAACAGTAAAAGTGCCTTCCCTTCCAAGACCTCCAGACTCACCGTGAGTCAGCCGTGCCTCCTCCGTTTCTGCCCCATCCGTCCACGTGCTTCCTTCATAATCATCTCTCCCACAGCTGTCGCTTTTCATTCTAACTACCATCAATCTAGTCTAAGCCTGACCACCTCACTTTAGATAATCGCATTGGTGTCTTTACCCTTATGCTTCATTTCTCTGCTACTCTTTCTTTCTTAAGTTTAAAATATAGTAATTATTTTCTTGTGGGGAAGAAAATCCTTTGCCGACAGCAGAGGGGCAAGTATCAAAAGGAAGGACATAAGTAAGTGAAGCTGTGGGTGAAGTTGTGCATCCGAAGTAGGGACACCTGGACGATATGTGACTGCTGTTAAGGGAACAGCTTCCCCTCTCCTCCAGTACATGTTGCAGTTGAACCCAACCACCTCATTGCTCAATCTGAAACCTAGCTGTTTGCATCACAGCGGCCTGTGCTCCACTATCCCTGTCCCCCTTCTTCTTTGTCATCTCCTTTCCTCTGGGCTCACTTCACACCGCCCTCCAGTAGACTTGCTCTTCCTTCAGGTCCTTTGTTTTGTGTAGATCATTCCATACATCATAATCTTTTCATCCTCAGAGCATATGTAAAACTGACTGATCTTTAAGAACCTTACATTTCCTTACAAATGTGATGGAATGAGGGTCATGACTTAAAAATAATTTGCTCCCTATATGTGATCATTATTGCATAGATCTCCCTATTAAATTTAGAAAACCACGAAAGATGTGTTACATCCTAGTTTGGTGAATAATGTTCAGGGTCTTAAAAGCTTCCAAGCAACCATCTAAGATACAACAATTGGTTTTTACTCATATGGAACAGAAAAGAATAAAGCAAATTAAAGATAAAAAGAAGACACTAGACCACATAAGCCATGTTGTTGTGTTGTTGAGTGCCATTGAGTCAGAACCAACCCATAGCTTTCCCTGCAGCAGGTTTCTAAAAGCAGTAAATTGCATTGGATGAGACTGCCTGTCTTTCTTCTGCAGAGCAGCTAGTAGATTTGAACCATGTACCTTTGGTTGGTAGTGCAATTCCTTAACACTTTGCGTTATGGTGTTGCAGAAGAGTATTGATTATCTCTTGTTGTTATTGTTGTAAGTGCCTTCCAGTTGAGCACAACTCTTAGCGATGCTATGAACAAAAGATCTGAAACTTGTTCTATAAAATACCGTTGTTTCTCAAATGTTGATAGAGTTTCGAAAGGCATGTTGTTTAGGAAGTGGACCCCAATTCTGCTTCCAATCCTGTCCTAATCTGGGAGCTCCACCAAACACTGCCCACCATGGGTAACCCTTATGGCATTTGACATGCCAGTGGCACAGCGTTCAGTATCACAACCACCCCAGGTTATCTCAGTCAGCAAACTGACAGACTAGTGCTGTACCACTTAGAAGACTCTTCTTCCCAAATACAATTAACAGGTCCTGATTGACTCAACCAAGAGGCTTCCAGCCCACAGCTGATTGTTAGTTTAAATCCATTAAATTCTATTAACTTACACATGATTGTGAATGAAATAAAAACAACCAAACAGGTTACACCTCACTTTCAACTAAAATGAGAACCTAGCCTCCAGAATCCACCTGTTCATCCCATGGACTTCCAAAAAAGCCAAGCCAGTATGTCTTGGAAAAGGTATAACCAGAGTCTTCCTTGGAGGCAAAAATGGCAAAGCTTTGTCCCTCATACTTTGGACATGTTGCTAGGAGAGGCTATTCCTTGAAAAAAGATACCATGCTTTGGAAGGGTGGAGGGTCAGCAAAAGTGAGGAACACCCAAGATGGATGGACATTGTGACCGCAGCAGTGGGCTCAAGTGTATCATTGATAGTGGGGATGACACAGCGTAGGGAGAGAGTCAGATCTATTATTCAGAGGGTCACTATGAGTCATGCTCAACAGCACCTCAAAACAACAAGTGACTAGAGCCCTTCACATGAGCCATCATCTCTTCTGAGGCCAGAACAAATGGGGGCCTGGCTACTATTACCAACTGTTCTGACAACGGATGGAGTAGAAGATACTGGATAATAGGAGAGAAGAACGTAAGACAAACTTCAAATTCCTGAAAAAAGACCAGACCTTGTAATCCAGTAGAGACTTGGAATTGGAGCTTCTTCTAAAGTCACCTTTTGGTCAAATAATAGATTGATATATGAAAGAGGAACTACCACCTGTGAACAAAGTGCTGCCTTATACAGTCTACTGCAGGAGATTTAACGATCAGCTGTTAACAGTTACACAGAGTGAAGATGAGATGGCCTGGAGCAGAAGGGAGGGAAGCTAGGCTAATGGAAACAGCACAGAATGAAAATCATGAGAACGCTGACTCGTTTTGAAAATTGTAACCAAGGTCACAGGACCATTTGTATAAAAAATTGTTAAGAACCTAATTTACTGTATAAAATTTCACATAGAATAAAATAGTACTGAAAACAAACACCGTAAGGGGATTTTTCTTACCCTTGTTGATATTCCCTCTGACACTAGCACTGTCTTATATGCAGTGTCCAGTAGTCAAGAAATATTTGTTGAACAAATAAGTGAATGAAAAGAATAAATAAATATTCCTACTGAAAGAATTTAGTTTAATTGCATTTTTGTCTGAAACCAGAAGTAGATTCTTCAGAGGGTTAATTAAATCCTTCCATTTTTAAAAGTACACTCAGCCTGTTAAATATATATTTTAGAAGCAGGACTAAGCAAGGCCCACGTTGAGAGGAAGATATTTTCACAAACTGTAATTACTTTGTGTGTATGTGAAAGCATTTTCTTCATGTGCAAGTAGTCGGAAATTTTTAATTGCTCTTCAATTCTCATTCCAGGCACTTAAACACTTCCTGAAATGCCCAAACTCAGAAGAAAATGTAGCAATAGAAATGGCAATCGAAACTGTAAGTAAACTTTGGTTGTATCACTCTCTTTCACAAGCCTACCACTCTGTTCTTTAATTGTGTTGTGGCAGCTTTGTTGCTGGTAGGCTGGAAGCTATGTTGCCAGCATCAGTGTTTAAGATACCTGTTAGGGACCTCTCCAGAGTACTGAATAGCAATGTTGTCACTGTGGAGACTAAGGTGCGCCTGATACAGGCCATGGTCTTTGCAGTCACTTGCTATGTATCAGAGAGCTGGACAATGACTAGGGATGATAGAAGGAGAATTGATGCCTTTAAGCTG